AGAGGTGATCTTTGGTGTCTGAAGTCTTTCTCTTAGCTTCACATATTCAGGGTTCATCCACGCTGTCTGTAGCAGTACTTCTCCCCCTTTTTTATGGTGGAGTAACCCTCCATTGGATCTGCATAACCACGTCACATTTGTTCCTGCATTAGTTGATGGGCAGCTGGGTGGTCTCTGCTTTTTGACCCTCCCCAGAAGGCTTGTATGAGTCCAGGCAGGAAGTGATGTTCAGGACAGTACTGAAAGTGATGCTTAGGACAGTACTAGTTTGGACCAAGTTAGGTCTCGTGGCACAACCTAACAGTAAGGGAAGTTGGTAAATGTAGTCTGGCCAAGTGCCCAGGGAAAAAAAGAAATGGGGTTCAGCGAATACAGCTAGTCTCTGATAGAACGTGCACATCAGGGGTGTCACTGGGTCCATCTGTGCCGGAACGCCTGGGAGTGTGGCCAGTAGCAGCAGTACTGAGAGTCCAGGCAGGACTGGCCTTCAGCTCCTGGTGCTTCCTTGAATGTGGAAAAGCCAAACTGAGCAGTGCTGAGCTGCGCATCAGGGCCTGCTGCCCCATCGTGGGGTCCGGTCTCTACAGGTCCTCCCTGGTGGCTTGGGAGCCTGGAAAGGTAGAGACAGTAGGGCCGGGGTAGGATGATCTAAAGTGATGCTTCTGCCCTGGTGTTATACCCATACATATATGATGTATATATAAGTAAAATATATAATATGTAAAATACATATAACTAAATATATAACATATATAAATATAAAGATATATACCATGGGAATATTACAGGGAATACACCTGGGAGGAGAAAGCATACATTGTCCAAAAATGAACATTGATGTAAAATATGTAAATAAAACTTAAAAGAACAATGGGGATTGAAGTATAATTTCAATTTGGATTGTCTTGATTGAGCCTGTCTTAGGTCTGGCAGTTAGCATGTATGGCTGACTTTTCTGTATTTCTCCTAGAGGATAGCTGGGTGTTTCTTTTAACTAGATTTCGTTCACTTGCGATTAGCTGCAACCTAATTTCTTGCCCCTCTGCTGCCTTTTTGATCTTGTCAGTGTTTGAGCTGGGTGGGCTTGGGCATCTGTTTCTCATATCTTCGGATTCAGTTTCTGCAGTGCTCTGGAATCCAGTGCTTTGATAATGTATGTGATGTCTTCCTGCTTTTCAGCCTCTCCACAGTGACTTTCTTGGCAAAATTCAGGGGTCAGTGTGCAATGAGGGAATTGTTGCACCAAGAAACTTGGTTTTGCTTCGAGACCCTTCTAGATTCCCTTCGAGCAACTCATGCTAATGTCCAGAGCTTGGTTGACTTTGTCCTTTTGCCATTTTCTGTTCCTAAGTGATTCTGTTCTCCTTTCATCAGTACCCCAAGTATGGAAGCTGTCGGGACTTCCTGCTTATCCTAAGCTGGTTCACTTTCCTTTGGAATTCAGCTAATCAAAGCTGTTCTCCTTCTATTCAGTGGGATTTTCATATTGTCTGAGTTTCTATTGTTACCAAGTTGTTGAAGACTTTTCACATTCTTCTGCATCCTAATTGGAAGCAGAGTCTCTTAAAAGATTTTTGATAGGCGGCCTAAGGTAAAGTTTGTTCTAGAAAGGACACTGTCCTAATGAAACCTTTTATTTGTTAATTGTCAGGGTTGGCTTAGATAAGTTTGTAGAACTCTGTCTCCTACCCTGCAAGCTTCTTATAGATACACATTGTGGAAAAGGTGAACAGGCAGCCGGTATGTGTCTTCCTCAAAATTCAGATAAGTTCTAAATGGTCTGAAAATAACCAGAATATAGCCCTATGTGATTTCTAGTCCAATATTTGATGTTTACTCTGTGCATTTTATTGCATAAGTAGTATATAAATGTTTATATATTTTGACCAAAAAAAGTTAAATTTACAGCAGCTGTCCCTTATAATTCTAACCTCTGCTCCCACCCATATTCCAAGAGTAATATCTCATCAGTTTGGTATGTAGTCTTTCAGTTTTCTGTGCATCTGTCAACAGATGCCATACTGCAGGGCCTCCCTGGTGGCGCAGGGGTTAGAGTTTTAGCACTATGAAGTTATCAGCAGCCACTGCAGCATGAGTTCCATCTCTGGCCAAGGAGCTGACCCACATGGTCCAGCAGACCTCTCCTTCTCACCTACTGCTCCCCTCAGCAGTGTATTTCAGTATATCTGCCTGTTCTGCTCCCCACTCTGTCAGGGGGTGAATTCACCCCCTGCACATCAGGACTATACCCCAGTTCTTCTATGCATAAATAAGTAAAAGTAAAACTTCTAAAAAACGAAAAAGATTGAGAAGACTGAGAACGGGTTTGATGAGATGAGCAAGTTTGGTTTGGGACATATTAAGTATGAGTGAGGCATTGTTGTGCATGGGAGACACTAAGAATTCAGTTGGACACGTGAGTTTGTGGTTTAGGGAAAGGTTGGTCTGCACCCGAGCATGAAGTATGGGAGTCATCAGAAGTAACTGGTTGGCAGTCTTAACACTGGGTGATAACACAGTCTACTGTGAGAGGGGCAGGGAGATGCACAGGAATCTAGTACAGTCACTGATCATGAGGAAAGGCTGGGAGTCATGCCCAGGGACAGTCTACTGTGAGAGGGGCAGGGAGATGCACAGGAATCTAGTACAGTCACTGATCATGAGGAAAGGCTGGGAGTCATGCCCAGGGACAGTCTACTGTGAGAGGGGCAGGGAGATGCACAGGAATGGGAAAATTAAAGAGTAAAACCAGGCAAGTGAGGTGCCCTGCGACGCAGATGGACAGGGTGCCCAGCGGCCATGTGCTGTTGCTGGTCATAGAAGACCAGGCCTGAGGATTGACCAGGAGGTTCAGCAGCACACAGACCTTCTGGCTGAGACTGTGCAGGATACAGCAGAGGCTGCGTCCCTTCTCCAGAGGTCCGTTATTTGGGCTGAGGTGCAGTCAGGATACCAGGGTCTTTAAACTCTTCAGTTTATTCCAGTGAGCAGCCAAGTTGAGACTCAACTATCTTAGTTCATTTCCTTCTCTTACATTGTGAAATGGCAGACGGATGTTGCGGACTGATTAAACAGTTTTTATCTATAGGCTTGTTCTTTGGCTACCTCAGGACCCAAAAACTGATTATTAACCACTAAAAGGATTAGCTATTTAGCACCTGTCTTAAAAAGATTTTCAGCTTAGAAGCCATCTTATTTCTTTTGTGAATGTTTGCCCTTTTTTTTTTTTTTGTCTTGATTATCCTTCAAAGACCTTTCATTTTGAGTAATGAGGGTATCCAGTTAATGAAAAAAATTCAAGGGAAATATTGATGTAACTGGCTTAAGGATAACCAAACAGACCTGAACACCTATCAATAATGAAACATTTACTACTTTAGATTGCCATGGAGCAACTGCACTGTGCAATATTACAAGGACTGGGAAACTTTTTCCAGATGTAATGTCTGTTACAGTTTGCAATGGTATTTCTCTCTCAGAGCCTTCTGTACTTTGTCACAAAAATCAGGTTTTCCAGGTAACTGTTTTGGTGAGTGTCAAAATGAGAATTTATGGTATTACTGTCAATTCACTTTGAATTAAAATATATGTATTGCAGCCAAAAAAAAGGCATTTAAGAATGAAATACATTCTTTTCAGAATTCTGAACATTTCACACCTCAAAAGTTAGCTGATAGTAGATGTAGAAATTCAGTGCTTCATTAAAGTTTTCATCTTTTTCATTTTCTCACCACAGACTCTAGCAATTATTTAAATGCTTTACTAAATATGAGTTGAGTGCTGTTGTTGGCTCTTCAAAATGAAAGAGTAGCATGGCTGGAATGTGCACCAAAAGGTCTCATTTGCACGCTGGTGAAGTTGGAGTCCGCATCACCAAGGAAGGAGCAGATGTGTTAGAGTGAGAGCAAGAGGACAGTACAAAAAGTCAGAGTTGAAATAACACAATTACTCCAGGTTTCTAGAAGGATGCTGAGTGTCTCGATTACCCCTCTCAACTGGGATTGAGTTGAGAATTAAGAGTTAAGGCCTGATGCTCTAAGGCATCTGCTGTATCAATTGAAGGAACTCTTAAGCATCCAGAATGGGGCTGGTTCTAAGCCATCTTTGGGAGAATTGAGAAAATAGTCAAATCAAATAATTTTCTGTAGGCCTTAACTCTTTCACAGAACCCCAGTTGAGAAAGGCTGTTTAATCTGTCATCTTGGATGATGCAGTTATTTTGAGGTACAGATGTTCAGAGAAAACATAAAAGAGCCTATGGCTAAAAATTTTTTTTAAATAATCTCTTGATTCATTTATTAGAACTAGTAAAACCTACATAGGAACACCTTGTACTAATCCCAGTATTGAGTTTTTGAGCAATTTAATGTATATCTTTTCACACTTCTGTCTGTATGCATAAAAACATACATAGATAGTATTTACTGCAAAGAATAGGACTGTGTAGTTTCTTTGGCGATTTCATTTCCCCGTGAACTTTATGGATGTTGTCCAATGGATTTGCCTCTTTTTAAGGGTTGCAACAGTTATTGCTGGATCATATGGTAGTTCCATTATATTTTCTGAAGAATCTCTGCCACTTTTCATAAAGGCCACATGTCCATATATCCCCACCAACAAGAGGGTGAGTGTTACTTTTCCTCCCCACACTCACCAACATTTGTTTCAGTCTTTCTGATGTAGAACTTCCTCACAGGTAAGCTGATTATTTCATTGTGGTTTTGAGTTCAGGTCCCTTGTAACAAGTGATGTTGAGCAGTTTTTCGTGCGCCTGTCAGCCAAGTCTAAGAGAAGGGACCAAGTAGAGCTAGTTAATGTCGCGCAGTCATACCCAAGCCCTTCTCAAACAGTGGCGATCTGAGGGTGAATGTGAAGGTGCTTTGGAAATGTTTTCCTGCTAACGCAAAGAAAGCTCTTACCACCAGCCTTTCACAGAATGACTGCTTCTGTACTCTGGTGTCCTCACCCAGACCTTGTGAGCTTATAACCCAATCTTTCAGGAGAAACGGCGCAGGGGACCGCGCCAAAGCACTGCAGGTCATGCTCCAGGTGCTGCAGAGCTGCGACCGGCCGGCCCCCGACATGTTCTGCCTTTGCGGGAGGATCTACAAGGACATCTTCTTGGACTCAGACTGCAGAGATGATGCCAGCCACAACAGTGCCATCGAGTGGTAAGCCTCAGCCCCTCAGGAGCCCAGGCATCTCCGCGAAGAACAGGCTTACAGAGGCTAAGGCTCCAGGTCTTTGCCCTGCGAATATGTCTCTGCCTGTGCCAGCAGTGGGGAAAATGCCATAAATGTGGTCTGGGGGTTTCTAGACTGCTTTTTCTGAAAAGACACCATTAGAAGCAGGGTTCTACCTCTGACACTCTAGTTCACCCACCTGTAGAAGGAGGCTTGGCTTGCTCCTGTCCAAGCTCCTCCTTCCAGAACCTTACTCAACTGCCATCAGATCATTACCTTCTCAGTGAGCTGTTTATTCCTGAATTTATTTATTATTTAGTCAGCAATTACTTATTGAGGGTTTACTGTGGCCAGAAACGTTCTAGAGTTTGAGAATAAAGACAGCAGATGTAAGTCCTTGCCCGAATGGACCTCCTATTGCTGGGCAAGGCAGTTGGACATGCAGAGTGAAATACGCAGGCTGTCAGCTGATGGTGAAGTCTATTGGAAGAGTTAAGTGGGGTGAGGGTAGGGGTATGGCAGGGAAGGAGGGTTGGAAGAAGTTGTCTGCAGCTTCAGATGGGGGATCGCTGAAAGTGAATGCGGCTGGGAAGGCGGTGCAGGGACGCAATGGCTGCTGATAGGGTTTTTTGGTTTAATGAAATGTTTTTAAAATAAATGGTAATGAGAATAAGAAATAAAAATTCACTCACTGGGCATCACTCTAGGAGTTCTCCAAGCTGCTCTGGCCCCAGCCTGGCCCTGTTCCTGACTGCCTGTTACACAGCCAGTTCAGCTTAAGTTCCCTAGGTGCTCCACAGACCTCCATCTCCCTTCCTGCCATTTTCTCCCTTTCCAAATCACTGTCCTTACACTGTTACTCCACCTTGTGCCATGTCTGATATCGGGGGCACCCTGTCTCTTCTGTGAGTCCTCTAGGCTTGCCGGTGTGAGTGGTTAGGATACTTGCCACACTCACACTTGTATTTTCACCAATTGTGTGATTTTTATCACCTCTGCCCTCGTATTGGCTCTTGAAGTGCAGGACCGTGTGTTTTTTCTAGTAATTTCCCGGTAAACCTGCTATGCGTGTGGTAGAGAGGAGCCACTCAGGGTGTTGAAGGAAGGAGACACTGGGAAATTTGCTTTTGGTAGTGCCAAAATAATGGAGCAGTGTTCCCACCACAGTGGCCAGGGACTCTGCCCACAGCTGAGGAAATTAGGCCCATGACACCTTGAAGACAGCCCTAGGTCATTCTCCAACCACTTCGGAAGGTGGTGGCAGTGGGTCCGCGAGCAAGGGAAGCTTAGTCTTCTGGTCTGGCCAGGACAGTGCCAACGGCAGATGAGACCAGGGGATCCTCGAACCCCTGGGCGGGGGACAGAAGGAGGCAAGTGTGTGAAACATGACTGGGGAGACCAGCGCCCAGGTCAGAGGCAAGCCTGGGGCTGCGGTTCTGACGCTGAGGCCAGGTCCTTTGCCCCTAGCCTGGGTCTGCTTATTAATGGAAAAGAATCATGGAGCAGTCACCCTCTTCCCAGCTATGTGTCAAGGAATATGGGGGAAATCCAGGAATTTGGATATGGCATTTTACATTTCCAAAACACACGGGAAGGGGAGAAAGGCTCCACGTTTATTGGAATTGAGTTGGACGGGGTTGGAGGGACGTACTGGGAGCCTTTGAGGGTACCTGTATTATGCCTTAAAGTTTGTAAGGCCAGATTTTAATAAGCGCTCCTTTCCAGAATGAGTATTTTGTTGATTAATGCTTGCATTGTCACACACGATGACTCGTGGTTTAAAGTCCGTAGTATTAACTGTGTGACTCAAACATTTTGGTATCGTTACTTATTTGATTGAATCCTTTTTCCTAACCATGACATTCCTACTTGAGCTTGGCAGAGGCTGTCTTCACATACAGACAAAAGCGGAAGAAGACACTGTCCACTTCTTGGTGGAAAAACAGTCTCCCCGTTTTCCATCCTGCCCTTTATCCTACTGCAGTTTATCTCTGCCCCTTCCCTCACTGTATGCTCTTTGTAGCTCTCGGGTGTCCAGGATTCTGACAGTGTGCTTCATACATGAAAAAATGACGATGCCATTTTGAATGATACAAGCGAACAAACAACGTGCAGAAAAAGACTGTAATTGATATGATTTCTGTGTGGTTAAAAAAACCCCTCAATATACAAACGGAACCCAACTTTAAAAACAAGATTTGGGCATCAAATTGTGATCTACTTTCGGACTAGTGTTATAATAGAGCCTTACATTTCTTTTGTGCGTTGTAATATAGTTTGCTTGTTTTATATGATGGTTGTAGTTTTTAAAATAAAATGTAATCTGATGAAGAAAAATTTTAAACTCCCCAGTGAGTGGCCATGATCACATTTTGAAAATGTTATTAGCGTTTTGCATGTAGCTGCTTGTAAGGGCTTGGAGAAGGCGGGGGCCCCATCAGGGATAGTCATGAGACCTCCGCGAGGAGGGTGGGCTTGCTCCGTCGTTAACACGTTTTGTTCTCTGACCACAATTAAGCTGATAGAACAAGAATTTGGTGGTTCTGTGCTTGCAGGTACCGCAAAGGGTTTGAACTCCAGCCATCTCTTTATTCAGGAATTAACCTTGCCGTTTTGCTGATAGTTGCTGGACAACAATTTGAAACTTCCATGGAACTAAGGAAAATAGGTAAAGCCATTTATTATTGTAGCTGAGGCTTTGATAGCTTAAGTTCATGTTAAATTTTTGTTCACATACCTATGTTGAGAGCTGTTACTTCCAAATGGCATGACTGAGACAATCGCTTAGTAAAGTGTCCACACTTCCTTCTATCTAAAGCTGAGATGGTATGCTAGAAACTAGAACTATTCTCCATGACTTTATCTAAAATCCACATTTTTTTAAGGTGTCCGGCTAAACAGCTTGTTGGGAAGAAAAGGGAGCTTGGAGAAAATGAACAATTATTGGGATGTGGGTCAGTTTTTCAACGTCAGCATGTTGGCCAGCAATGTGGGGAAGGCTGTCCAGGCAGCAGAGAGGTTGTTCAAGCTGAAGCCTCCAATCTGGTGAGTCCTCTGTGCACGGTAGCCTCTCTTCTGTCCGATCTTGTTCTAGAACATTCCCCTTCCCCAGCTCTGCCCCTGCACCTACCCCACAATGCAAACAATGGTAACAGCTGCTGTTTCTCTCCTGACTTTTTCATTAAAACAAAGGAAGGGTAGAAAGAGCAGCTCTGAGCTCTCAGTGGCTTAATGTGAATTTTACATTAGTAATTGCCAGGTGCCAGGGGGCAAGGAGGGCCTGGCTCGGGCTGGGAGGGCAGCTGGAGGGATCCTGTGATGGAAATGCCCTCTATCAGTACTCATATCCTGATTGTGAGGATCTGGGATGTTGTAGGATGTCACCACTGGGGTAAATTGGGCTAAGGGCACACAGTATTTTTCTGTATTATCTCTTACAATTATATGTAAATATGAACTATCTCCAAGTAAAGGGTTTAATTTTTAAAAAATTGAAATCTTGCCATTTTTCAGTGCTTTGAATTTCAAACTGTTTGCTCTGGTTAGGACAGTTATCAGATGACTGCTAGTATGCTTTGAATGCCATCTACCAAAATGGTGGTGTGACCCAATGTTGGTAAAAAGCCATATTTTCTGATTTTTGTTGAACTAACTGACTGCCCACTGTTTAGGTTTGCTTTAGTTATGTGGCTGCCAAATGGGTGTTTTAAGTTCATGGCACAATGTGAATTGATGTAAATAAAGCTTTGGGGAAACTTCTTTGAAAGTAAGTAGGATTGAATTCCCTTTCTTTGGAAATATAATTTATTGGCGCTTATGATTTTTTCCAGGTACCTGCGATCGTTAGTTCAGAACCTGTTATTAATTCAACGCTTCAAGAAACCCATTACTGAACATTCTCCCAAACAGGAACGGCTTACTTTCTGGCTAGACATCATTTTTGAAGCCACAAATAAAGTTACAAATGGACTCCGATTTCCAGTAAGATACACAAAATTCATTTCTGTAAGATATAAAGGAGAAACTGGAGCTTGACGTTGTCAATTATAGAATAATCTAAAGAGAACTTTAGAGTAATTGGAAATAGTAGGACAGTCATCAGACTTACAGAGACTTAGCCAGTGGTAGGTCAGCTCTCTCGACAAAGGTGGTTTTGTCCTCCAAAATACTGGTTCTCCTGAGAGGGGTTTTGCTCCCCAGAGGACATTTGGCAACCTCTGGAAACAGTTGTTTCAGCTGTGAGGAAGGTGGTGCTACTGGCTAAACTTTCTACAGGGGCAGCCCCCCACAGCACAGAATTATTCAGCCCTCAATATCAATCATGCCAAGGTGGAAGAACCCGCTGGAAGGTAAGTGGGAACTCAGAGCATTTTCCTAGTGAGCTGTGGCTTTCCTGCAATGGCACTAATACTTGAAACTTTATTGAAAAGCACAATTGCATTGAGCTTCTCATGGAGTTTTGTTGTAATTATCTAATTATCTAGGAAGGAGCTATAGGATACCTAAGTGTCCTGGAAACAGAACTTGAGATCATTGCATTTCAGATTGATGCTGTGAGATTTTGTGAACAAGCAGGGTTCACAGATTTCATTGAACAGCTAATAAAAGATTAAGTTGTTTGAAATGGTCATGATAATGATTATGTTTCTGTGTAGTAAGTCTTAAAATCTGTTAATTATGAGACATTTCAAACCTACTGAAAGGTTAGAGAAAAAATAGTAGGACAGGCCCGCTGTATCTCCACGAAGGTGTAACAGTCTTCAACGTGGGGTTGCTTTGTTTTGAAAATTCATTCTCTGGTCCCTGTTCCCACCTCCCTCTCACCCCTTCCTCCCTCTCCCCAACAAATAGAATATTACTGAAAGGATGTCACCTCACCTGTCATTTTCCTGCCTTTTGGATAGACTTGGTGTCTGCCTGCAGTTCATCTCTTTTACATCCTCTTTTCACTCAAAAACTCTGCCTCCCTCTGTTCTCTGTGACCTGCCTCAGACCTGCCTTTCTTGGCCACCCTGTCTGAGGAAGTGATATACCCAACTCTCACTTTTGTTTTCTCCTGCGCTCTGTATGACATCACACTGCATATTCCTGTCTGCTTGTCACTCTGTCTGCCCCATCAGCCCTCCCTCAGGGAAGGGACATGTGTTGTGGGTCCCTGTATCCTCGATCCAAGCATAGTGCTGGCACTGAGTAGGTACTGGAGTATTTGTGGGGAGTATAGAACTTTCCACTTCCTTCCAGCAGGGCACCCCACATGACACCTTCCTGTGCACTACAGAATTCTGTTTTTCTTTTAGGTCCTGGTCATAGAACCAACCAAAGTCTACCAGCCTTCATATGTCTCTATCAACAGTGAGGCTGAGGAGAGGATGGTTTCTCTGTGGCACGTCTCACCCACAGAAATGGTAAGAAAAAAATCCACAGCCCTTTTTATATTATTTAATCAAAATTTGACTTTCAAGTAGGAGAAACAATGTCGTATGTCTGTCTGAAAGACAGACACCTGTGACTGGGTCCTGACTTACAGGAATATATGAGAGCATCATGAGAAATGAAAGAAAGGAAGTAGATTTTTCCATTGCACTTATATGTATATTGTGTATGTGTTTTCATGTTTATGAATGTGTATGTGTATATTGGGTTGTCAGAAAAGTCATGACATACTTTTTCTGTTTTCTAAGCAAAAGTACATCATGACTACAACACCCAATATGTGTACACATGACATATGTTATGTTTATGTAAACATACCTATGCATGAATGAATATAGGCTTGCTTTTTAAAAATGAAGAAATGGATAAGGAATAAAGGGACTGTCCTCCAACCCCCCCCAAAGCTGGTCCCCATTTCTATCCCCAGTGATTTGGTGGCTGACTGTCTCTATCCATACCTTTGCTAAACTCATTTGTACATGTATGATTGTGGGTTGGGTGTGTGTGTGCACACGCAGGTGGAGAGGTGCTGTCATTAAGGGGAGATTATACCATACATATGCATTATTTCAGAACTGGTTGTTTTTAACTTACCCATTCACTTGGGCATTTTTCACTAGTGTGTGCAAGTCTGCCCGGCTTGTAACATGTACCGTTTCCTGTGGTCCTGCGTCTTCCAAGTGTGGATGGACCAGAAGGGATTTTGCCACTCTCTGGCACATTGAGGTCTCAGTTGGGCATGCTGTCCTGTGGTGTGCACGGTGCTGCGTGTCCTGCAGCTGCTTCCTCCCTCACTTGTGGAGCTGTTTCAGGAGGCAAGATTCCCAGAAATGGAGCCTGTGGGTTCAGGACCACCTACGTTTCAAACTTACTAGCCACTGTCCAGTTTCTGTCATTCCAGTTTGTTGTTGTCCGACAACAATATAGGAGGAGACACTTTTTAACCACACACTAGTGCTGGGCCAGGCCTGATGTTTTTGTAACAACGATATTTTCATCTCTCTGTGTCTAACGTACTTTGTCAACTTTTTTCTTTAATGAAAAGTTTTCTAGTAACAGAAAGGTATAGCCCCCTTTGACAAATGCATTAGATAGATCTGGCTTTTCACAGAATGTGGGGAGACTTCTGCCATGAACTTGGCAGAGAATTGTTTTTCCCTAGAGACAGGACAGTGAGCAATTATGTTTTAATAAAAATAAGCAGTTATCTTTAAAAATAAAGAGAATAATCACAGCCTAAAATTTTATTCCTTGTCAGAAACAGTTATGATGCAGCAACTCCCATTGTTCAGGGGGTCTGAGCTATGCTATATTAAATTGCAGAAATAGGGTCTCTGTTAACAGTGTGGGTCTGTGCGCCTTACAACTTAAAAGGTTAGACCTTATGTTCATAGTATGCACTCAAACACTAGAAATAAAGGGACACAAGGACACTTTGAGAAGTGTTGGATGTGTCTGTTACCTTGGTTTGGTGGGACTCACATATGTCCAAACTCATCCAGCTACGCGTTAAATAGCTATAGTTGCAATTAAATAGCATGTAGCAATTAAACCTCTACCGAGGTACATAAAGCATAGTCGAGAATGGTATTTCAAGGCGTGTTCATGGGCATGGACTGCTCTAATGGCCTATTGTGGACTGGGTGGCTGAAACAGGAATGTATCACTCACAGTTCTGGAGCCTGGAAGGCAAGACCGGATTGGCAGCATAACCAGCTGCTCTGGTGAGTTCACTTGCTGGCTTGCAGGTGTTGGTCTTCTTGCTATCCTCACATGATGCAGAAAGAGACAGGAATGTACATTATCCTTCAATAATTGATCCTTTTAATGCTCCCCACATATTGCTGGGCTCTGTGGCTTGTAGATGAAACTCGGGGTCTTCCCAAGTGTCATGCTCTCACACAGAACTGCTCTGACTGTCTCCTGAGCTGGTGCTGTCGGGGTTCATGTTTGCATGTTTCATCTTTCTTCTTCCCTGGAATTCCTCCTTCCACTGAGCCAAGCTCTAACTCCTGCAAAAGTATCTCTGACCATCTTTTCACTCTCTCCCCTGAATGTCTGTAGGCCACTTGGTTGTCTGAATCATGTACAAAGTATGCTCAATTGCTTGTCATCCATGTGTGACAAGCCTAGATAGGGCTTCTTTCTTTTCTCTCCATAGGACCTACGCAGCAGGTACCCTCTCCCAAATGCTCATTGATGATAGGAAGAAGGACAGCCCATGTTGTTTTCATTTCTAGTAAATCTTCATTCCAAATCAAGAGGTTCTCTACCCTAACATAAACCTACCATCCGGGAGGACTTTGTAAACTTGTATGGCTGAGCTTTCTAGAATGTTCAGCCTCTTGCAGGTAGATAAGGGTCAGGCTTAACTTTCTTGAGTCTGGCCTAGTTCACATTTTCTGTACCTGAATCCAAAAGCAGACTCCTGCTCTCTCCACCTCCCTCTCAGTGACTTTGAACATGTCGCTCCTCTGAAATATGCTTAGTCTTTCTTTACAGTTGGGTCCAATTGTTGGCTTTGTTTCCACACACCGCCCTCCACCTTCCACCTCACTCTGAGAAGCTGAACTTCTGTTGATGACTTCCAAAACCTGGCATGGTCTCCCCTATGAGCTATACAACTCCTCCCTCCCTCAGTCCAGCCACACTCATCTCCCCTGGTCCCCAAACAAACTAAGCACACTGCTGCTTCAGGGCCTTTGCACATACTGTTCCCTAAACTTAGAACTCTGACCCCCATGCCTGCGCTGCTCACTTCCTTCATTCCCTGTAGCTTTCTGCCTAAAAATCATCAGTGGGGCCTTTTCTAAGCATCCAGTTTAACATCTTGACCCCTGCCTTCCTCTCTTTAGTTTTCTGTGTAGCACTCTTTATCCTTGACCACATGTATTGCCTGTCTCTCGCTTGAATGTAAGTCCCCTGAAGACAGGGACTTTGTCTTTCTCTGTTGTGACTTAAAACATTTCCATGACTGGCAATATAATTACTACTCACCTGCTGGCTGTTTTGAACCATCTGCTCAAGCCGCTGGACTCTTCTCTGCCAGGTGTAGCTGGTCATTTATGACATTCTTCTAACTAATGAAATGCATTTCCTTTTTAAAACTTATTACCTTGAGGAAATTCTGCTTATCTCCTGCTAAAGGAGATAAATGCAACAGAGAAAGACAAATACTGTGTGATAGCACTTACATACAGAATTTGAAAAATCCAAACTGTAAAGACAGTAAAATGGTGTTTTACAGCTTTTCTAAAACTGGAATTTCAGGCATTCTGAGACTCAGCTTTGTGCACAGGTTAAAGACAGGAAATGGTAGTGGAGGAAGGAGATAAGTTTTTTTTTAATGCATGTTACAAAGATTGACGTTCTTCGTTCTGGTTATGGTAGGCTAGCTGCTAAAAACAGATGACCCCCAAATATCAGTAACTCAACCTGATAAAAGGTTATCTCTGCCTTGTGTCATCTCCAGCTTGGCAGAGTCCTCATTCCATCTGGGATGAGGAAAGACAGTAGACAGGACTGCTGTGGAGGCTTTTAAGAGCCAAGCTGCAGGTGGTAATATGTCATTCCTGCACACATCCTGTTGGTCAGAAAGGCACCTTATGGGCCCTCCTAGCTGCAAGGGAAGCTGGGAGATGTAGATTAGATAGGTGTCCTAGATGAGAATGAACTAAAAATTGATGAATTCTGATTGGTGTTTGCTACATTCTTCTCTGAATTTTTTTTGCAGGTCACTCAACTGAGACAATTGTTCCCAAACTCATCTTAGAGTTTTCCTGATGTTAGAAGTGAAAGACCATTCCCTATATACTTAACATGTGCATATTGTTTCTACCTCAAATTTATGTCATTATTTCAAATTTGGATCATTTACTCTAAATTGGATCAGAAAGATACAAGTCAGTTTTTATAAAATGTTTAAAAATATTAGTGGTGTTTCAAGTTACACAAAATATATTGCTCCATCCCCTAAATTCTCAGTTGAAAGTGAGATGGCAGAAGTGATTGACCATAGAATAAAGCCCAAAATGTTTCTATGCATGGGGAATAAATCAAGCTACTCACTTGCGTCTTTGATACCTGCAGAAACAGATCCACGAGTGGAATTTCACCGCTTCTTCCATTAGAGGAGTAAGGTAAGCGCATAGGAGAAAATGCAGCTACTGTTTTGATATAAATAATGATGGTAACGTTTTGTGCACTTTGGTGTTTACACTTGTTCATAATATGTGACATTCTCATTTTCATCAAATCTGAATCGGACTGTGTTCTGCTGTGTTGCCCGGCCCAGGCTAGGCTAGTTCATGATGTACTGTTCTTGAGGGCTTCATGGTCTCTGATAACAGCGGCTTTTCTTCTAGCCAACACACTCAATTTTCTTCTCTGAATTTAAGAAAAGACGAAGTTATATCTGTAGAAAGTGTGTCCTTCCCCAGCACTGCAGCTGAAGGGAGTTACTTGGCAGTGCCTCTTGACTGTAGTCTCACGGGCAGAGTGATGGTCCCAAGGCCATTGCTGTTGGTGAGGGAGTGGGGCTCGTGTTCCAGCCAGAAGCTCGGTGCTTGCTCTCTGGATCAGGAGTGCGGCCCTGCCAGCTCGTGCAGGATGGAGTAGCTCTGAAGCAGTCGTTCTAATTAATCCCTCTTCTACCGTTCGACCTCGGGAAGGTCATCCAACTTCTCTAGGTCGCAGATTCTTCTTACGTCCCATCTGATTCTGAGACCACAGGCCGCATAATGAATCTGCTGTTAACTTCCAGACACAGTATGACTCTGTCCTCAACACATCAGTGTTTAAATTAGAATGTTTATGTCACTTTATAGGGAGGGGAGTAACTAAAGCATAGAATAGTGCATTTTAGTCATGCTGCTTAGAAAAGACAAGGTAATTCAAAATGTGTTGAACTTCTTAAAAAAGTGTGTTACTCAGAAATTGATTTGTATGAGGATGTGTGGTCAAGGATCTCCTGTTTGTACATCTCATAGAGAGCTCTTAAGGCCCTCTCATCCGTTGCATAGATGTGCTTGGGGCCCGGGTCCAGTCAGGCCCTGGAGTCACTGGGACAGAACAGGCATATATTGGGCGTTCTCATGCTCTCCAGCTGGCTGTGGTAGGACTTGATCACGTCTGACCTAATTTTAACTCTCAAAAGCACCCTATGCTATTACTCTTTCCAATCAGTATTTGTCATGTAATCTGTAACACATGAAGAATGGTCAAAGAGCCTGTAGTGTCAGGGAGAGGTGACTCAAAGAACAAGGCAAAGTGACTTCCTTTGTTTGAGAATGTTGCCTTCTTGATATTTCCACCTGGCAAAATGAAGACGTTGCGAAGGCTTTGGGCCTAGTGTGGGTAAAGAACTTTCCTGCAAAGAAATCTCAACAGATGGAGCATGATGCCTCTCTATGGTTGGATCTGCCCACATAGGCCAAAGTTGCCTGTTTGAGGAGCCGTCGCATAAGGTCCATGCCTCAGGTGGGGTGGACAGTAAAGGATTTTTTGAACTAAGATGCCGTCTTTATTTCTATTTCCCTTTGTGGCCACAAATACTGTGTACTGATGTTTTTCAGGTCTAGAAATTCCTTTTATACCATAATTATTTTGCAGATACCTTTTCTGTTTCTTGGTGAAATCATGAACTCTTTAGGGAAAGGATCATCCTGTATTCCCTCTTCTGCAGCATAGTGCTTTCCTCAGCACTGATTATAATATAGTTAACTTCTGGATACATATAAGTCATCAAATACAAACACAAACATAGGCCAGGAGAATATCCCTGCTATTTAAATGTCATAGGTAAATAGAAGCGAAATTTGGGAGGTGTCTGTTAAAATACTAATGAGCATTTCAAATTTTTAAGATGGAAGAAAATATCTTACTTTTTTCCGAAGGTTTAAAATTAATATCATATATAATCTTATGTTTTTGAAATTTTACAGCGTATCCAAGTTTGATGAGCGCTGTTGCTTTCTTTATGTCCATGATAATTCTGATGACTTTCAGATATACTTTTCCACTGAGGACCAGTGTAATAGGTGAGTTGCGACTGATTCAGGGATCTGTGATCTAATTGTGGTGAGTCATTGTAAAAGATCTTTGTTGTGAAAAATTTATTTGCTCTTCTGACTTCTTGAAATTTTGACTTGTGGAAGTTATTTTTACAGCTTTATTGAGTATCATATCATAGCATGTACTGCATTCATGTAACAGTAATTAAAGATTGAAATTCTTTTTCAGTATATTCAGTTTTGTAACCATCACCACTGTTTAGTTTTAGAATATTTTCATGCCTTTAAAAGAAACCCAGTATCCGTTAGCAATTACTCCCCATTTTACCTCAACCTAGCCTGCACAGCTCTAGCCCCAGGCTACCACTAATCTACGTTCTGACTCTAAGGGTTTGCTCATTCTTGACATTTCCTATAAATAGAATCGGGTAATAGGTGGTTCTTGTCACAGGCTTCTTCCACTTGCCATGGTGTTTTTAACTTCAACCATGTTGTAGTGTGTATCAGCGCTCCTTTTCTTTGGGAGGCTGAGCACGGTGCTGTTTTATGGAGCGATTTACCTATTCATCCTTTGAAAGACACTTGGAATGTGTCCTCATTTTACATTTCCATCAGCAACGCACAAGGCTTGCAGTGTGCCACATCCTTACATCCTTGCTGCCCTTGTTACTGCCCTTTGAGTCTCGCCTCCGCAGACGCAGACACTTACGTTTCCCACTTGGGATTATTCACATTTCCCTAATGAGGACGAGTGAGAGCATCTTTTCATGTGTTTATTAGCCTTTTATTTGTCTCCTTTGGAGAAATAGCTACTCAACTCCTTTGCTCAATCAAAACAATTCTTAAACTTTTTATTTTAGAAAATGCTTAGAAGTTTCAGAAAACAGCACAAGGAATTTTTGTATGTTTCACCCAGAATTCCCCAATGTTAATCCTTCACGTTAGTTTTACATTCTCTCTCTATGCACATAGTTATTTTTTGAGAGTGTTGACATAAGGCTTTGTGACCTCTCAATATTGTGGTCTGTGTTTCCTAAAAATAAGGGCATTTACCAGTGTAATCGCAGGACAGTTAATCTCATCAGGAAATTGAGGCTGATAGAAGATGCTAATCTATAAATCTAACCAGATTGTTACTGCTGTGTGCATGCCATGTGTCCCTAAGAAACCTAACTTTTGTTGCACTTTCCAGCTTTCAAAGATAACAAAGGTAGGACGGGTTAGAACATTTTAATGTTCTGTGGGAATTAAAGTGTGCAGTATTCTTCCCTGTCATCTTAAGAGAGAATTTTAAATTAAATTTTTCTAATGAGTCTAATTACTTACACGCAGGTGAACAGTGACATAAGTTTAGAACATGTCCTATGTGGCCCAACAGCAGTTGAGAGAAAGATTTCTGAAAAATAGTTGATATTAAGCTGAATATGTGTTGACAGAACACATGCCTTATGCATTTCTTCCCCATCCTTCCTCTCATACAAGACTAAGTTTCTCACTAAGAACTTGAGTGTGTGTAACTTGGGAGATGATGACCCCATAATCCTTAGCAGTGTTTAGATCACTTCTAGAACACTGGCCTCAGGCACAGATCTGAAAGCGATACCCGGAGGCACTTGAATTCCCTGCTAGTGGGGTGCCTAACAAACAGCTCCTGGAGGAGACAGTGAGGGAACAAGGTAGAAAGAATTGCAGGGAATCATAAAATTCTGTATATTTCTAGTAGACTGTTACCATAGAAAAGAGATTCATTCTAAGCCATCCATGGATGGAACTCACTTTAGTTCAGTATAAGTGAAGCATTCCTCATGGAGTTCTCCAAAGCATAAGCTTCCTTGTGAGGTGATACGTTCTCTCACTGGGGGTCTTCAGGTATCAGTTGGCCAACCCTTTGGGTAAGGTACTACATAGAGGAGATTCAAGAATCACATGGGAATTTGAACTTAAAGTTTAGGTACCATGTCCAATCAAAGAGTAGATTGACTGTTGCATGAACTTGTAAAAGCTTCATTTATATTTAATCGCAATTTAATAAGAGGTTAAATTAAATGTAAGGACCAAGAGAGGATCATAATTAGCAGCACCTTTGTGACATTTGCTATTCTAGGTTTTGCTCTTTGGTCAAAGAGATGATAATGGTGGGGAGTACGGTGGAACTGGAGGGAGAAGTGGATGGCGACACCTTAGAGGTAAGTCACAGAAGACTAAGAACACGAAAAATTATTGTCTCTTTTATGCTTAAAGAAAAGGTAATATATTGGAGTATGAATTTCTTTATAAGTGTATTTAGAAATCCTCCTTATATGAATGAGCTAGCCATCACTCTCCATAACTTTCAGAGGTTGTTTAATAATGACTCTAGAAAGACCTCATTACACTGGGGTCTTTATGGACAGATTGCTTAAGAAAACTTGGCATGGATTATACTAAAATCTCCCTTTTGTGCACAGCCTGTGAAAGTTTTTTCTAAGCAAGCTAGCAGTGTTCATGAGACTGTAAGAAAAATGGCAACCTAGAAGCAGGCATTCTTGCTTATATCTAAAGTAGGAAGTGGGATGAGAGGAGTCACGAGAGACAGGTGGGGAGCAGAACAGGCCAGGAGCATTGCTGTGGGGAGCAGCAGGTGAGACAGGAGAGGGCTGCTGCACTCTGTGGGTCAGCTCCCTGGCCTGGGGTCAAACTGCTGCAGTGGCTGCAGACAGCTTCATAGTGCTGAGACTTAACCCCTTGCACCACCAGGGAGGCCCCATATATTAGTAAATACAACAGCTTACAATCATTTTTGAGAAGGTAAGATCATGCCATGCTCTTTTGGAGAGCACAGTTGTAGCCCATGGAAAATACACAGTAATAGAGGCCACGTTTGCCTGAGTCTTGTGCAGTTACTCAGATTTGCCCCGAAGTCAGGTCCTTTCAACAGCTACAGTTTAGTGAGATTTTGCCACACTTTCATATTAATTCCTTAAGATTTATTTTTAAAAACATCAGAGATTCATTTTAATAATGGAGTCAGGTATTCAAAATCTTCATTTCAAATCAAAGTTTGTTGTAGAAGTGAAAGGTGTGTTGCATGTTGGAGGCAGAGATGTGGGGACAAAGGTGAGAGCGAAGCTTTACAGAGCAGGCTGACATCTGGCTAAATCAGATGGGGATGGGATCCCTTAGTAATGTCACTGGTCATAGTCACCCCGAGGAGCCGGGAAGGGCGGGGCGCAGGCACACGTGCACACGCTGCTCTGTAAGTGTCACAGAGACATGGAGCACAGCGTCTATACGGTAGAAAAGTAGCTACTACGTAAAGCATGATAAGAAACTCTTAGACGGGTTCGCTGCGTGCTGATGGCGAGAAACTACATTTCCACAGGTAAACGTGGAGTGTGTGCGGGTGCTGATTCATAAGGCTGCATACCGGAGACCTGCATAATGTTACAAACCGGTGGTGCATCAAGCAAAATTTTAAATGAATCCCTTGTTGTCTCTGTTTTAAGTAAGAGTTGCTCAGCCAGGGGTCACCTTTGTCTTATCAGGCAGCAGCTGCGGTGCAGCTGTACAGCAGCTTTCATTTATAAAGTTGGGGGAACAAAGTAACACTACTTACTGACGGCTGAATCTGTGCAGTCCAGTGCAAAAGCTAGCTGTGCGCATCTGAACGCAGGCCAAGTCCAGCAGATGTGCTTTGTGTTAAGACAGTTTAAATCGTACTGACCTTTCCTTCTTCCCTGCACTTCAGGAAAAGGTTTGTTACCTGCCAGACTGATAAGGGATCATGAGGGAAGGGCCCTGTTTCACAAAATGGGCATCCTCTAGGAGCTGTGACCCACCTGATACTCAAATACTGCTGTTGATAAATTTCAAAAGTGGTGGGACAATCTTGGGCTTTCTTTGGGCCGCTCTCCCTCAAGCACCGTGCTTTTCTGTCCCGTTCCTTCTTCCTCAGTATGAGTACGACCACGACGCACAGGGTGACCGAGTGGTGCTGGGGAGAGGCACGTATGGGGTCGTTTACGCCGGCAGAGACCTGAGCAACCAAGTGCGCATCGCCATCAAGGAGATCCCGGAGCGAGACAGCAGGCACGTCTAGGCTCACTCCCGCGGAGGCTGGCGTGGCGGCTTGAGTGTCCGTGTGGCAGCTGCCGCCTCCCCACTTAGTTTCAGTGGTGGTGTCAGCTTGTCATTGCCAGCAGTGTCTGGGGGTTTCTAGCTGGAAGGAGCTTTTAGAGATGGCCCATTCCCTAGACTGATTGAGTGGATGTGTGATATTGGCCACCTGCTCTGGCCAGATTCGGAGCTGGCTCTGGGGGTGAATGGTGGCCAGGGCAGTGTCCTCAGGGCGCAGTGCTCCCAGCTGGGTTGCGAATGTACAGCTTGCCTAGGAGTCGGGGTAGCAGCACTGTTAGAGGGGGACCACCATGCTTATAGGACGAAGGAGTGGATTGTTTGTCCTGGTGCGTTGTGGCCAGTTTGAGATAATCAGTCATCTTTGAGCTGCACTTGGAGGGGTGAGTAGGAGTTTGTCTGGCAGAAAAGGTGGCCAGCACATTCTGTACCAAGGGGAGAGCCGTACTGTTAACACCAAGGGTGTTTCAGAACTGGCTGACTGTTGGGACCTGAATGGAGGATGTGTCACACTGGGGACTTAGGAAATGAGGCAAAATTTTGGAGAGGTATGTTCTAATTGAAGTTGAAGGTCATCCTGCGCCACATTAAGCACACTGATCCTGATATGGGCTTTATGCAGGGAACCCTGTGACAAGGGCTGCCAATCAGGAAGGGGGACTGTGGCACCCAAGGGCAGGGCAGAGTAGATACTACAGCCTGACCCTGGCAGGTTCATTTGCTGACGGTTATCCAGTATGTGGAATGAGACTAAAGACAGCTGAGGCTAGAACCTTCTAGAACAGCACCCTTTATGAGAGGTAGTGGGAGGAGGACTGTCGAGAGGCACTGATGGCCAAGGAGTTCAGGCCTTGATAGCCACCTTTCTTTGAGAACCTAGCACACACATCACGCACTCTGCTCAGAAACCCAACACACTTGGGTCCCCCATTTTGCAAATGGGGAAGCTGAATAGTCTCCTGGTTGTTTAGGGGGAGAATGTTCCAGAGAGAAGGCCAGGCCAGCAGCAGGGCAGGCAAAGGCAAAGTGCAGTATGGACCCCGAGCCCCAGCGATGTGGCAGGTGACACTGACTACGTGTTTCCCACCAGGTATTCTCAGCCGCTACATGAGGAGATCGCCTTGCACAAGTACCTCAAGCATCGCAATATTGTTCAGTACCTGGGCTCTGTGTCAGAGCACGGCTACATCAAGATATTCATGGAGCAGGTGCCTGGAGGTGAGCAGTCTGGTCTTCTGGTGTCTCTCACTGGGAATCACTACTGAAAACAGTGTGAACACCATTTCCTGTCCTCCATCTAAAGGATGACACCTTCTGGCTGTGGCACAGCATGAGCGGGGCGCTTTCCCGTGTACCCATAAGTGGCCGGCTTGTGTTGGCTAGTGCAGTGCCCAGTTGGCATGGAGGACCAGCCGCCGGGCTGGGCTAGAGCAGATGCTGCACGCAGTCTCAGCTCTGAGGCCTTTGCAGCCCAGGAGTTTGAAGAACAGAGAAAGGAGTACAGGGGTTTTAACACTGACATTGCAAAATAGCATATTGGCAGTGAATTCAGTCACCCATATTCCCCCCGCCCCCCCATCCCCCAATGCAGGCAGTGAGTGCTGGAGTATGAGCGCCTCGCATCTGGAGCCAGGCTCTCGAGGCCCTCCAGCTTCAAGCTATATGATGTCCAGCAAATTATTTTCCTTTCTGTGCCCACGGTTTTCTGATTGAATACATGAATTATAAAGTTGGAGTGATATTAATTGCTATCATAATGAGAGTAAGAAATATTATTGGAGAAATAATGACCTTACCTCAGTTGTTGGGTGGATTAAATAAGCTCTGTAAGAGATGCCTGGCAGAGTGAAAACTTAGTAAGCGCTCATTTCAGTAATAATAAAGTTAATAGTCATAATCACTCCTCTGGCTGCAGTACAACAGCAGAAACTTCTGTTAGAAACCTTGATTCGTAGCTTTATGCAGCAGTTGCCAAGCACCTACTGTGGAGAACCTGCCGCAGAGTCAGGCAGTGGCCAGCTCGAGGGCAAGTTGTTCATGGTCTAGGAGGAAACACTGGTGGCTGCTCATATTTACTGCCATTCCAGGCATGGGGTGTGAGGTGTCAGTAGAATTAGAGGTGAAGGCGTGCATCCTGGCACAGATGGCAACACTGGGGCAGAACGCGTTGCCCTGGAAGGCAGCTGGGACTGGCTAAAGCCTTAGCGCCTGTTCTCACAGGACAGAGACTGAACCAGAGGGGCAGGATGCCACGAAGGGAGGCTTTCTTTTGGCCCAAAGATTCAGTGCTTAACTCCACTCAGTGAACTGAGACACCCAGTCTCCTCTAGTCCTCGTCACCGTCATCCTAAGGGGCTCCCCACTCTGGTCCTGTCCTCTGATTTCAGGAGATGGGAACATGGCTTTGACCCCAGTGGAATGGCTGAGACCCTGGGGCACTATTGGCAGCCGGCAGGGTTATCCCAGGTGTGTCCCTGGCATGGGTGCCCACCTGAGGCCAGAAATACCAGCTTCGTATTTTCTCCTGACCACTCCTACCTATAAGTTTTCTGTTGTGTCTCTTTCCAGGAAGCCTGTCTGCTCTTTTGCAATCCAAATGGGGGCCGATGAAGGAGCCCACTATCAAGTTTTACACCAAGCAGATCCTGGAAGGCCTTAAGTATCTCCACGAAAACCAGATCGTGCACAGAGACATAAAGGTACTAGCTCACTTGAGCCCCCAGGGCCACCTCCCTTCAGGCTCTGCTGACCGTGTCTGCAGCTCGGCAGTTCACAAGGAGGGCCAGGAGAGTGATGTCCACAAAGGGCAAAGTCCAGTCCACCTGGAGACCCCGGACTGGCTTTAGGTGTGTTTTCTGTTAGCCCGTTCCGATCTTCAGCATTTGCTGTTCTTCTTTTTCTAAAGGGTGATAATGTTCTGGTAAATACCTATAGTGGAGTGGTGAAAATCTCCGATTTTGGAACTTCTAAACGTCTCGCAGGAGTGAATCCGTGTACAGAAACTTTTACTGGTAAGCAGAACACACTTGGCATGGGGTGGCGGCCTGGGAGTTCTGCTCACAAGCGCGGTCTTTGAGAACTACTGCTGAGTACCTTGGCAGTGCCGGCTGGGCTGCTGACTGTGAAAGTGGACAGCGTATTGTCAACACTGTGTCGTTTTATCTTTCTCATAAGGATGCATTTAGCCGACTCTGTGGCAACAAGAATGTCTTCTTTGTCTTCCAAGAGTTGGGCTGGTGTAGGGCTCTCCTTGAGACTTTCTGAGTCTCTGACCAGTCAGCAATGTGGCAGACTTTTTGACCATAACAGCATGTTGTTCAGCATCACGGGTCATTCTGAATAACGGTGTTCCTCAGCAAGCTCTTCAGGGCATTGTACTGATTGGTCTGTCATAAAACTAGCCTGATAGTTTAGTGAGTTCTGATACCTTGTGCTTTGAGGTGATAACTCCAAAGGAGAGGCTAATTTGTAGAGCACAAGCTATTCTGAGTGGGTTTGAGGAGTTGTATTTTCTTCTCTATCACTGATAGAATCAACCCCATTGATAACAGGGTTCAAAAAGTAGGATAGTTTCCATCCAGGTTTACCTTTATAAGACCAATGAGTAGAATGACGCTCACCAGCCACCTACGATTTTTTTTGAAGCTCTTGCTTCAAAGCAACTGTATTACATACTTTGATCCGTGGAAAGATGTACCAGTTTTCAACAAATAAAGCTGTATTATCCCTTAGATGTACTTCAGAAGGCTTACATTTTAATGCTTACATTTTAGCCCTGAAGTTAGCTCTAGAAGACAGATGAATATTCCCCAACCCTGTAGGACCAAGTTATCCCCTGGCCATATTTGGCCTTTGTGATGATGAGTAGTTACTCGACTTGGAAAGTCTTTTATTCAACAAGAGAGTGGTTGTATGTAGGCCATAGAATGCCCACAGTGGAGACATAGTCCCTATCTAAAGGGAATTTTTATGCATCAAAAATGATTTCTTAGTTCCAACGCTAGGGAAAGTACATGCAATCTCAAAATGGGCAAATATTATACCAAGAACCCTCTGGAATCTCCCAAAAGAAAAGCATATAATAAATTTTCACTCATTGTGATACATGTATCTATATGAATATGTATATGCATGTATGACTGGCACTTTTTTACTACCCTAATTGAAAACGACTTATAGTCTCTTCTTTGGCAGTCACCAGTTAGCTCTGCAGTATGTGGCAAGAGGGGCTCTGATGTGCCGAGTTACTTCAAGACATATAACCCCCCAACAACTTATCTCATAATCAGCATCTCCAAGGGGGAAAATGGATGATTCATTATCACATAGCACATTTTCCTAAGTAATTGGCTTGAGGAGGCATGTATTTTGCATTGCAAAATAATACAGGGGTATCTGGTGGGATAATGAAAAAGGTGTCTCACTCTGGGTAGGAGATTCCCCTGCATCTAATCAGTCTTGGCAAAACAGTTCTGTCAAGAAATCTGTCTGGTGCAGTTCTCTGGGCATGGCTGGACAAGATGGGACTTTCCCACCCTCTGGGAGCCACCCAGCCTAGCAGCAGCATCAGGGGCCCCAGGTGGCCTGTTCGCCGGGAGCCCTTCCTACCCGTGTTCCTCTGAAAGGTGTAAACTGTGGGTGTAAATTGACTAGACAGGAGGAAGGGCCCTTAGAACCCGGTAGCCCCTTTGCTTTTGTGTTTCAGCAGATGTATTGACGGATAAGGGCATCGAGACAGTGCAGGGGACATGTGTTGGCCACTGGTTTCTGGGAGTTTTTTCCAGTCGCGCATAAGCCAGATTTTGAGTATTCCTCCCCCCTCAAAAGATCCTGTGCCACCTCAGTCAGTCCCCATTCCTGCCCCGTCCCAGGCCACCACAGTGTGATTGCTCTGTACAGATGTGCTCGCTCTAGGGGTATCCTGCCTGTGTGGTGATGCAGCTGTGCACGTTTGCAGGGCGCTGCTCTCATGTCACATGATCCCTTCTCCATTCGGCCATGCAAAGTATAAGTCAGCGCTTCCTTTCCCAACCGAGGATGGTGCTAACATGGCCTGTTTACCAGTGAATGGTCATTTGGGTTGTTTCTGCTTTGTTATTGTGCTATCATGACCACACTGCAGGTGTAGAGTTTCTCAACCTCACCCACTGTGTATATCACCTCACATGCATCACCTGGTGTCCACACACATTTTGCCAGTCTGAGGGTTGGTTTTTGTTGTTTGATTGCTTTGGCTTTTCTTTACATTCCTCAAATGAGTGAAATGTAACATTTGCCTGTCATCTTTTGATACATTTCACTTAGTATAACCCCCCCCCAGGTGTATCCAGGTTGTTGAAAATGACAAGATTTCATCATTTTTATGGCTGAGTAGTATTCCCTTTTATGTATGCATTGTATATACACACCAGCTTTTCTTTCGCTCCACTGTCATGAGCACTAGGATTGTTTCCACAGTTTGGCTGTTGTAAATATTTTTGCAGTCAACAGAGGCATGCATGTATCTTTTCAGATTAGTGGTCCATGTTCTTTGGGTAAATACCAAAAAGTAAGATTGCTGGATCATATGGTAGTTTTAATTTTTTGCGGAATCTCCATATTTTCCAAAGTGATCTCACCAGTAGTACACAAAGGCTCCTTTCTCACTGCATCCTTGTCAACACTTATTTCTTTACTTTTTGATAATATCTTTTCTTAGCAGTGTGAGGTAAAATCTTGTCATCCTGTATTTCCCTAATAAGTTGTGTAGAACAATTTTTCATTTGTTCCTTGGCCATCTGTATGTATTCTTGGGTGAAATGTCAATTTCAATCCTCTGCCTGTTTTTAAAAATCAGGTTGTACATTTTTTCATTGTTGAGTCAGCCAAGTTGTTTTTGCTATTTGACCTGGGTGACATGGGGTTTGCAGATATCTTCTCCCATTCATTGGCTGCCTTTCATAGTCCCTCTTGTTTCTCTTGCTGTTGGAGATAAACCCACAAAGAGATCACTAAGGCTGATCTCAAAAAGCTTATCACCTGCTTGCTTCTCTGTATTTTATGGTTTTAGGTTTTACCTTTTTAAATCCATTTTGAATTTTAGTTACAGAGTATAAGGTAGTAACCTAGTTTCATCCTTTTGCCTGCAACTGCCCAGTTTTCCCAGCACCATGCATTGGAGCGCCTTCCCGGTCTTATTGTATGGTCTTGGTTCCTTGGTCCTAGATTAGTCTATGTGTGGTTTTATTTCAGGGCTGACCATCGTATTCCGTCGATCTGTGTGCCATCCCCGCTGTAGACCACCACCTCTGGTACCATAATGTTTTGATTATTGTAGCATTGTAATAAAATTTGAGGTCAGGGCACATGTTGCCACTTCACTTTTTTCTGAGGTTGGCTATTTGAGGTGCCTTGTGGTTTTCTACAGAGTTAAACATTTTTCTGTTTCTGTGAAGAATACCATTGGGATCTTGAGAGGATTTCATTAAATCTGTGTATTTAGGTTGAAAAGGCATTTTGACAGCAGCATCTTTTCTTCTGGTCCATGAGCAGACTATCTTTCCATTTCTTTGTGTCATCTTTTTTAATTCAGTAGTGTTTTATAGTTTTCACTGTATAGGTCTTTCAAATGGCTTTGTCTTCATCATTTCTGTTTCCTTTTTTTGCATATAGAAACGAACAGATTTTTGTATGTTCTGTAGCCTAAAACGTTAGTGTAGTTATTGTTTTTATCAGTTTTTTTTTTTTTGTGGAGTATTTTGGATTTGCTATGCTCTAATATGCCATCTGTATATAGTGACAGTTTTACTTCTTTTCCCATATGAATATCTTTTATATTTCTTTTTCTTGTCTGATTGCTGAAAAAACCAGTACTATGTTAAATAATAGTGGTGAGAGCAGGCATCTTTGTCTTATTCCTGATCTTACTTTTACTTTTGTTTTTATTGTTCCTGATCTTAGAGGGAAAGTCTTCAGTTTTTTCCTGTTGTGTAACATTAGCTATGGGTTTGTCATATATGGCCTAAGTTATCTTTAGGTGTGTTCTTCCTCTATCTATGTTAGAGCTTTTATTATAAATGGATGCTGAATTTTATCTAATGCTTTCTCCATCTGTTGAGAAGATCATGTGGTAATTATCTTTTGTTTTGTTGATTTGATGAGTCATATCAGTGGATTTGTGTATGTTGAACCGCCCTGCAATAAATCCCACATGGTCACGATGTGTGATCTTTTTAATGTACTGAATTTTTGGCCAATGTGAATGATACAGGTTTCCCCCACTATCCTAAATTAGAATGTCCCTACTTGGTAAGTTTTTACCAAATCATACCAAATAGGAACATTCTCTTTTCAGACAGCAGGGAAAATGTGCACTGCTATGAGCACTCACCTACAAACTTGTGTGTGGACATGTTTTCATCCCTCTTAGGTAGATCCTGGAGTGGAACTTGGGAAAGGGACTCTATTCTAGTCTATTATTTTTTTTAAGATTTATTTATGCATACAGAACCGTACAGAACATACAGAACTCTGGGTACAGGCCAGAGGTGCAGAGACAGTAAAAGGATTCACCAAAGAGAGTGGGGAACAGGCAGGCTGACGAAGTACACTGCTGAGGGGAGCAGTGGATGAGACAGGGGAGGCTGCTGCACCATGTGGGTCACCTCCCTGGCTGGGTATTGAACTTGTGCTGAAGTGGTTGTGGCCAGCTTCCTAGTGCTGCCCTTTAACCAGGGAGGGCCGTGCTCTAGTCTGTTGTAATTTTCTTTGGTTCAAATTCTGGACCGACCACTCCCTAGCTTTTGACATTGGGCATTTGACCTCTGTGTGTCCGTTTCTTTGTAAGTAAAGCAGAAGTGCTCATGTTCCCTCCCTCCTAGGATTTGGACGTGGGTTATTGAATTAATATTGATAGAAGCGTTTTGACTAGTACCTGACTCACTTCAAGTGCAACTGAAGTATTATAATTTAACAGTTAAGTTTGTGTGTGCAGAGTCAAGTTTGTGTGTGCAGTTAAATGTGTTGGCCCTTTAGGACCCAGAGGGTTTAAAACTTTTATTTTTGTCTCTGGCTGCCCTTTCCACCCCACACAAGGCAGTAGTCCTTTCCTGTGACTTTTCCAGCCACCCTTAGACAGCAAAGAGACAGCTTAGGACAGGTTGAGAAGCAAGTACAACCCAAGTCAGCACTTAAAGGGTTCAGAGACAGTCAACACTGTCTTATTGTCAGGGCCATTTCTGTCTTCTACCCCTGCTGGCCCAGGGGTCAGCATGTGTCTCCCGTCTCACCTTCTCCTCCCTTCCACCACTGCAGGAAGTAGGGTTGGGGTGGGGCTGGACCTGGTCATTGCTGCTCACCAACCCCTTCTAAGCCAACTTTTCCTGTGCCCTGGGGCTGGCCAGGTCCCTTACTGTCACTCACAGACAAGAGTCTGTCCTTTGACTGCTCCCTTCCCCTCACTTTTATCACTCATGTTACATGGCACCCCTCCATCTTTTTCTACTGTGGGATCCAGGCCCAAGAGGACAGCATTTAGGCGAAATTCCTTTAAAATAGATCCTAAATCAACATTTCTTCTTTGGGTCCCGTGCCACAGTTCATGAGTCGCTTAACTTGTCAGGAGGGCAGGGTGACATCTCCAGACTCTAGCCTCTAACTTGGCTGCCATAATCTACTTTTTCTCCTGTGGACACAGATCCTCTGTGCAGCTTCCCACCAGGAGCCGCAGCTAAGGGTCTCAGAGCAGCCCAGGTGGGTTCCGCAGTGGCCTAGGGGCAGGAAGCAGCGGTGGCACCTCCCACCAGGCCCATCCCTTGGGCTGGGCAACTGGGATGTCCCCCAGGCCGTGGGCAGCTGCACCTTGCATCTCCTTTCTTTATTTCATTAATGTTACATTTCGAAATGTTGGACTCTGATGCTGCCCTGAGGGATGCTTGTCCTGAAGTAATGTTGAGTTGCTTGAGTCTCCATGTGCGCACGCCCTCTGAAGGATAGCCCGCCATGCTCCAGTGAAAGGGTAGCCCTCAGCTCTCTGAAGAAGTCCCTTTCAACACCTCCACTCCAGTCTCTGCTCTCACAACCCTTTTAACCCTAGTCTGGGTAGAAGGCCCCTGGCAAAGAGGCCCCAGAGCTGGGAAACCAGCTGACTGAGACCCCCTGAGAAACACACCTGTGGCCCTTCTCTTTCCAGGGAGACGCCTTGGAATCTGTCGTATCTTGGCATCTTAATTCAAATTTCTAAGTTTCTGTCTTATGCTGTGTGTATTCTTTGCTGGTGATCTGAAAGTCCTGCTTGGGTGATGGTCTAGGCACCTGAGTGGATTCCGTGTCCTAGGGAGCTGGGCCAGTGCCGGCGAGTCTCTTGGTCACCTTCTTTTATTTTCCCAATAGGCACCTTGCAGTACATGGCACCTGAGATTATCGATCAAGGACCTCGAGGATATGGAGCCCCAGCTGATATCTGGTCCCTGGGCTGCACCATCATCGAGATGGCCACCAGCAAGCCTCCATTCTATGAGCTTGGTGAACCGCAGGCAGCAATGTTCAAAGTAAGACATGTTTGGTGACATAGGTCGCTGGTGTTGGGGAAACAGAATTAAAGACAAAATCTCCTCCAATCCAGAAACTTCTCAGAGGTGGCAGAGAAGGAATTCTTTTGAATAAGCATGAAATCAGACTGTGAGGTACACCACAGGCAGTCCACTCAGTTGGCAAAGATAAAGAACACCTGCTGTTTCATAGAGCCAAGCAGATGCAAACCTTTGCGACCACGTTGTCCAGAGAAATGCTCACTAGGGACTGGGTGGCACCACTGGGCAGTGATTCATCCGAGATTCATCTGCTAAGTGGTGACCAGTTTAACCCAGAAGAGAAGTAAACTTCTCAACTGTTTATGACAGGAGGTAGTTTTAGAAACTGCCCCTGCCTCAGGCTATTGGCAAAGTCCTGAGGCTAGCTGCAGTGTGGACATGTGTGTGGACGCCACTGCACACTCCTGCTTCGGCCTCTCACAGGATGGGGGTGTGGCCTCATGTGCTGAAAGCCTGCAGGCCTGGACCGCCTGCGCCTCATGGTCCCCTTTCTCACTTCTCTCTTGAATGCAGGTGGGGATGTTTAAGATTCACCCTGAGATTCCCGAAGCCCTTTCAGCTGAAGCCAGGGCCTTCATTTTATCCTGTTTTCAGCCTGACCCCTACAAACGTGTTACTGCTGCTGACCTGCTCAAAGAGAGTTTCTTAAGGCAGGTGAACAAGGGCAAGAAGAACAGAATTGCTTTCAAGCCATCAGGTGAGGCCTCCCAGTTCAATTTGGGCACGCCTGGGGCTCCAGGCTTCTCAGTTGTTCAGTGCCAGCTGCCAGGAGAGCAGTGGCCTAGCTGGTGCCGTCTCTGGAGAGTGCCAGGGCCTGGTGCCATAGGTGCACCCTGCAGTGTGTGCCCTTGCATCCGCCTTGGGGTTGGGATGGGGGCAGCCAAGGAGCCTGGCTGGGGTTTTGTGTCTTCTGTGTGTGCTGAGCCTGCCTGGTCTGTCCCCTGTCTACTGAACTTGATGAAAGGGTGTGTTGGGGGAAGATTGCCTGTGCTGGCTGCCTGCAAGCCACTTAAGCTCTGCAAGACTCGAGCAGCACAGCTCCCCTGGAGATGACAGGTGCAGCCCCTGCAAAAGAGCTATTTGTTCTCTTTTTCTGAGTGTGGAGCAAGGTCAGACCCAAGACAAAGGCCTCAGCATTTTGCTCTCATCGTGGCCCTCCACTAGCTGCCATGGCCATTTCCTTCAAAGTGGTTAGAAGTCTCACGCCTGCCTCAGTCCCTCACAGGCATCCCCAAGGGATTTTTGCACCCGCAGTAGAGCTGTGCAGACTTAGCCTGAGTGGGACCCTGCCTGAGGGGCTGTAGCATGCATAGCTCCACCTGTCTGTCTACCCACAGAAGGTGCCCGAGGTGCCACCCTGGCCTTGCCCACATCGCGGGAGCCCATGGGCAGCAGCAGCAGCGACCACGGCTCTGTCTCCCCTGACTCAGATGCCCAGCCCGATGCATTTTTTGAGAGAACCCGATCACCCAAGCACCGGCGCAGGTACCGGAGGCCCCATCCCTTACCCGACTGAGCCTGCCACTGAGCCTGCCACAGGGGCTCCTGTTCCCAGGGGCAGAACACCTCCCAGTCTAGACCAGAGGCCAGGAAGGGCTTTGGCTCCCTTTCTGCTTGGCCAATAGGGTGGTTGGCAGCCGCTGCGCGCAGCCAGTGTTTTGTGCAGGCTCACAGTCCCTTCCTCCTCTGCACCTCCCTTCCCTTTCCCGCTTCTTCCCTCCTCCTCCAGAGGGAATGCCTCCCTAACTCTCTTAACCCCTCCCCATTCCTCTTTTCCTTTCCCACCACTTGTGCTGCTGGGATTGAAAAGGACCCAGTCTCTTCCATATCCTGCCTGCCTCAAGCTGTAATCTTGGGGTTGGGGACAGCAGAGGCATCACCATTCATATGCTAAATGGACACTGGGCTCCAGATGATTGTATTTCCCTGCAGTGTTCCAGATGAGAGCTTGGCCTTGGAGGACAGGGACCCAGGCCTCTTCCTGCTGCGCAAGGACAGTGAGCGCAGGGCCATCCTGTACAGAATCCTCTGGGAGGAGCAGAACCAGGTGGCCTCCAATCTGCAGGACTGCGTGGCCCAGGTACAGACAGATGTTGGGGGGGGGGGCGTGCTGCGAATCCCACCCCCTCTGCTCAGCCCTAGCCCAAGCAACCAAGCAATGACCAAGATTCTGCAGCAGCCTTGTGACGTATTTCACCATGTCCTCTGCCACCTGGGGTGGGGGTGGGGGGAATGCGCCTCCTCTAAACCTGAATGTGCAGAACAGGGCTGTGAGCCCCGGCTTGGATGAGGTGGCGCTGCCCTCTGGCGGAAAGTGAGGCCACTGGCAGCCAGAGATCGTGGGCTCCCAGCCTCGCCCTCGCCCTAGCTGTGGGCATACTATAGTGGCTCAGAAGCTGGGAGACCACTTTAGGGAGAAAGGCTATGGATGAAAATATTTGAGTTTTAACTGAGTTTGGATAAGGGTAAGGTGAGTCCTCTCACTAAGAGGCCTCTGCCCTATTATGAGCCCACTCTGACAAGGCCCAAGGGCGGGTGGAGCAGTCACAAAGGGGTGAACTGTTAGGCAGGACCAATCCCAGAGGCTCAGTGGAGTGTGCCAAGGGACGAAAGAATCCCCTAATAAATGGAAAAGTAACAGTCTGCTTAATCTAGTTTGTCACAATGCTTTTTGAGTTTTTCTTCTCCCTGACTTACTCAGTGAAAGTAACTTTATTTTGGGGTGGGGGGATGTGTGGGACATGATCAGAGTTCTGAAGAGTTGCAGCTCTCAGTTGGCCACATCAAGCAAATAATTGGACTACTGAGGGACTTCATCCGCTCCCCGGAGCACAGAGTGATGGCATCTACAATATCAAAGCTGAAAGTGGACCTGGACTTCGACAGCTCATCCATCAATCAGATTCACCTGGTACTCTTTGGCTTTCAGGATGCTGTAAGTGCTCCCTATGGCCCTACAGAACATGCCAGAAGGCAAGCAGCCCACTGAAGTGGCTTATAGCCAAGATCAAAGAGTTCACTTACCATCTTCTCTCAGTCCTGGGCTCTACTACCCTGTTTAAGCCTGGACCCCGAGTTTCTGCTGTTCCAGCCAAGCACTGACTGTAGTGCACTTGGGAACAAAGAGCACTGTGGGAACCTCTCAGGTGGCCACCTGCCAGCGGAATGGGGGTGGTTTTAAGCTTTTGTCTGCCCAGCATGAGTTGCTCTAGGCCTAAGACCATGTCTAGCTTATCTCTGCATCCCAAGCCAAGATCCTTCCATTACATAGGTGCCGGTAACTTGAATGAACAAAGGCCCTGTGAGGAAGAGCCCAACCCCCAGACCCCAGCACAACTCGGGGGCAGCTTAGAAGACTCAGTGCAGAAGAAATGAGTTGAGATCCAGGGCAGCATGGGTGACACTTTATGTCAGAATAGACAAATTGGTACTAGTGAAAACTTTCTTAAAACTGTGTGGAAAATCAGAAATCTGAATTTTGTGTCTAGGTAAATAAAATTTTGAGGAACCACTTAATTAGGCCCCACTGGATGTTTGCAATGGACAACATCATCCGCCGAGCAGTGCAGGCCGCAGTCACCATTCTCACCCCAGGTAAGTGCCACCTCTTTGGTCAAGGTCAGCCTAGGGGAAGAACAGACGTGGCCTCTGCCCTCAACCGGTGTTGCTTTCTCTTTCACATCTTGACTTTCTGCTCTACCGCTGAGTAAATATTGTCACAGACCTTTCCAGGGCTGTGGTTCTGTTATTTTAAGGACATCCCCGGGTGCTGTATTTACATGCCCCAGAACACCAACTGACTTGTGGGTCAGAAGACCCACAGAATCAATGTGATAACTAGAAATCTTTGGCTTTTGACAGAGCTTCAGTTAATTTTCCCATGGTGACTTGTTCCTATGAAAAGACTTTGCAACACTTCTGTCGGCATTACCACTTCCTCTTCACTCTGTTCTCGTCACCTCCTGTCCACACCCCTGACAGCACTGGAGCTGAGGCTCCGCTTCCAGGCCAGGCCTGTTAAACGAACCCTACCACTTCCCCAGTCCAAGCAGACAACTGTCAGTAAAAGAACAAAGGGCTGGCTGGAAGCCTGGTTGTATCTTTTAAATCTGCCATCCGCTAACTAAGAGACTGTGAATGAAGAAACAGTCTCCTCCCACTTGACAGCCTTCTACAAATGTAGTGTCGCACTGGCTGAGCGGGGCTCATTTGCTGCAGGCACAGGACAGAAGCTACAGCGAGCCTAGCCTTGTTGACCCATGCTCATTTCTCCTTCTGCGATTTCACAGAACTGCGAGCCCACTTCGAGCCTGCTTTTGAGACTGAGGGGGTAGATAAGGCCCCAGAAGAGGTGGAAGATTATCCCCCAGCAGACCTGCTTGGAAGAGAAGCCCAGGACGCCTCGGAGGTTTTCCAGGAGGCCCAGCAACGCCTAAGCCTTCAACTGGATAAACTCAGGCAAGAGACCAACAGGTGAGCAAGACTGGGACAGTGACCTGGCCCAGTAAGGCAACTGGTTCAGCTCCCGCGTGCCTTACCCAGGTCTCAGTAAAGCTTCTTGTGGGAGAATAGTCTGTCTTTAAACATTAGCAACTAGAAAGGCACAGTGCCAGGCCACACAGGCAGCAGCAGCTTGGAATGGTCTGGTCCCTGCCTGCACACATAACTGAGTTGGGGGCAGTTAGCGCTTCGTGGATGGATGTGTTCCCATGCCCCTGAGGTGTATGTATCCTGTCCTGGTGATTTGACACACTCCCCCCGTCAGACACTTACAAATTTTGTTCCTAGTCAGGGAATCCTGGCATGGCTGTGAGGTCCCTACTCCCCCTGTTGGTTTGTTTTATTCATTTCCTGGAACAAACCCCCAAAAAAAGTGTTAAATGAACAAAATGATTCCCTTTGCTTATGAATTGATGCCAACAGGCATATAAAAAGTACAGCCCTACAGCTCTAGCAAACTCGGTGCTTCTACTTAGTGATGATATCAGCGCTGTCCGCAGATGCTAGTATTGAGGGAAGGCACAGTACTTAGTCCTAAGATCTCACCTTAGGCAGGTCTCTTCATAAAGAGGTGGAGTTTTAATTAGCTGGTAATGGCAAAAGTTCTAAAGGTATGGCTGTGAAGTTGGTAGTAATACTTCAGGGTTTCTGCAGGGGCACCTGTCTGCCGCATGCACTGTCATGAGGCTTCTGGGGTAACTGACCCTTCACTTCAGTGATGTAAATAAAGCTTACTCCCTAGCGCAGCAGCAGGGTCACAGTTAGCGAGCAGGGCACATAGCTAGAGACCAGGACTCCTGCGCCCCAGGTGCCAATACAACGGTAGCTGTGTGCAGCCCTTCTGAGGGCTCACCGCCGCGTAGGGACAGAGATGTTTGCGGTTCAGCAGTGCCATCCCGCCTGCTCTGGGGTAGACCACCCAGCGGACCGAGGGAATTACTTTTCAGTGCTTCAGTTATCTCGGTGAACAAAAGGTACTTACTTTCTCAAAGTTCTGTTAGGTTTAAATGGTTCAATTCCTGTAAGCATCATGAACGGGACAGTCCGAGTCCTCTTCCTCGCCCCTAGTTGTGCCAGCTTTTGCCTTAGTCCCCTTGGGGAATGAGCCTGCCCACTAGCTTAGCAGCTTGATCTGATGTGGGGAAACAAGTTAGAAAGATCAGATCACCCTTGGGCCTAGTCACCAGCTGGCTGGCTGCCTTTTTTGACTCATGGTAAGTCACACTGAATCCAGTACATGCACAGCCTGCTCACTGCTGTTTGCAGGGAGTGGAAGCATAAGGACGGGGCCAACGGCTTGTCATTACTTCCCTCACACTACCGGGATTATGATTTTTTAAGTTCAATATTTGCAATAAATGGTATTGGGCTCTCTTTTGATGGCTTTTTTTTTTTTTTAAACCAGACTCTTGGAACACCTACTTCTAAAAGAGAAAGAGTACCAGCATCTTCTACGGCAAACCCTAGAACAGAAAACTCAAGAACTATATTATCTTCAGTTACAATTCAAGTGTGATGGTGAGTTACTTTCCACTTATTTCCATGCAGTTAGGTATGACATTCCTAAGAAATAGGATGATAAAAACAAGGGAAGAAGCATATAAAGTGTTCAGTAGGTAACATCAAATTCTAAACCAACCGAGGTAATGTAGCTGAGAATTATCTCTGGAAGTGACTCTATGAGCTGTGGATGGTTATGTACTGTGGAGCAGCTGAGTGACACAAGTTTAATTCATGTCCTTTTCACATCATATTTACATTCTGGATCATTTATTTCATCCAATTTGTGTTAGCAATTTTACTCTTACATGTCAATACATAACAAGTTTCACATTGATATAGACACTACGCAGAATGCAGCAGCTCCCCCTGGGCCTCGCGGGCAGAAAACTGACAAAGAGCTTGTGGATTGGCTGCAGCTACAAGGAGCAGATGCAAATACAATTGAAAAGGTGAACTCCTGGCCACAACGCTTCCCGGTGCTACTACTGTGAAGCCACTTAGTCTTATAGATGTTACCTTTGTTTCAGATTGTTGGAGAGGGCTATACACTTTCTGATATTCTTAATGATATCACTAAAGAAGATCTAAGATACCTTAATCTACGGTAAGAATAGCCTCAAAACACTTTGTAGACCAGAAGATGACCTTTTTGTATATTTTTCAGTAAAGCAAAGCGCTGTGGCTTTCCCCGTCATTGAAATTCCCTTTCCTATGTCTTAGAAAACAAAAATACCCAACCTCACTCCAAACCCAAGTTAAGGTTAGCTAAGAGGTGGAGGCCAAATAGGAAGGCAAAACCAGTGCTCTCCCCCTGCCTGGTCAGGAGTGAGGAAAGGCGTAAGGTAGCAGCGCCCTCCCCACAGCTTCCTGCCCCTGTAAGACCGCAGGGAGCCATGTCCTGTTTCTGCTGTGGCTCAAGAGTCACCTTCATACATTAAGACTAGACAGCAAATTGAGACAAGTCTAGGATCATACCATAAGGCCTCGGCAAAAAGTGTTCTGTGATAAGCTCTCAAGTTGTCTTTTCTCATGACTCTAAGACAGACTTGTTCATTTTGTAGTGGTGGCCACCTCTGCAGACTCTGGACTGCCGTCTCCCAGCACAGAAGACGAGCTCAGGGGTCTCCAGGCGCCCAGGATTAGGCTAATGGGGCAACTAAGCCCGGGCACAAGGGGAGCAAAGAGCGGACTTTTTTGCTGTTAAAGTTTCTGTAAGGAAAACACCGTTATCTAATCAACAGTTCAGGTACAAGTTTATAAAGATTTTTGTTAACTACAATGGGTTTGTTTAAACCCTGTTACCAGCATGTTTTGAAAGTGAGTAGAATTATTCCCTTGTGAGGCCTACTTCTGCCATTCCAAAGTATGAAAAATGAATTTTAATTTACTTCAATTGAAAAAAAAACACCAGTATACCCTATAGTACTTGCTGCAAGGGTGAGACAGTGGGTATTTAAAAACAAAGGCTAGGGTCGTTGTTCAGATTATATTAACTGGTATTGCACTTACTTTGTAAGAGATAAAATTGGTCAGAATACATGCCTTGTATTTATGTTTGATATGAATGTAAAGAAAACTTAATTGCTTATTTATATTGAATGTATAAATGGAGAAAACTAAGTTATTTGGCTTATGAAATGAAGTAGTTTTGTCTTTTTTAAGGATGGACTTGTTCGTCCCCACTGCCCAGCTATCAGCAACACTGTCTAGGTCAGTGTAAATAGGCCGCCGCACCTTCATGCCGCTGCCAGGGGAAGGGGTGGACAGAATACAAAGAACTTTTCCCTTTTAACGAGAGTGTTACAACTAAGCCAACTACTTTATGGAAATAATTTCAAGGAAGGATTAAGCAAACTTACCTATCTTATATAGGTCTAAAATAACCTTTATAATACTCACACTAGATACTTTGTGCAATAACATTTTCTAATGCAGCAGAGTTAAAACTGCATGCACTTAATCTACACACTGTTTAGTCGTAGAGAAATTTTTTTTATGGGTTTAATTCCTCCTTAAAGATAACAGAATTCCTGCCAAATAGCCCACCGAAGGTTAAACCAGCCATCAGATGTGCTCTTCCCATTAACTGATGGACTTAAACTTGATCCACTGATTTGCACCACGAACTTCAAAAGGTGGGTCGCTGCTATAGATGTGATAGCCTAGTTCTTCCAGAGGTGGTTCAGGATCAGCAGTGGCAAACTGGGCAGCATCCTCAATTTCTTTCCTCACTTCCACATCAATTTCCTAAAAATCAGATTATATGGTGCAAGAGAATTTTGAACAAACAGCAGCTTAGGTACCAACTAGTTCTTCTCAGAACAGGAATATTTTAGAGTGCATTGCAACTTTTACAGTTAAGACTGCCTTCTAGAGAACTTGTAAAACCCCACAGGGACCGTACCTTTAATTCTTCCACGCTGGCAAGATTGTTGTTCACCATTCTATCCTTGAGAAGCATTATAGGGTCACTCTTACTTCTTACTTCCTGAATTTCTTCTCGTGTACGATAACTATAGGGTGGGAATGTAGTTAAGAGTAGGTAAGAACAATAGGGGCCATGCTGTTAAAGTGATACAAAAGTCCTCTTTCTTAGATAGGAACACACCTCAGTCACTGTGGTAACGGGGGAAGTTAGACTACACAACTGCCCTGACCTTTAAGGTTCTTGTATAATGATAGGCTCTGAGGCAGAATGCCTCAGTGTGGGCCTTTCCATAGGCCCTGCAGCCGTGAGGATAGCAGGTTTTCCGGTTCTTGATTCTAGAATACATTCTTTTCCTAAGCAGCCTTGCTGCAGAGAATGGAGCTCTAAATGAAAGTTTCTGTAATATAATCCAGCTTTTTGAGCTGATCACTCCAATACCCCATGTGCTTACTCAGCCTTACTCCATACACAGCCGAATATTTTTCAAATTCCAACTTCCCAGAAGGGATGGACTGTAAGGGTATTTTTAAGCCCATAAAATGTACATTCCTCTACCATTTGACTGGTTATATATAACAGTTTGTCTGAAAATATTTTACTGCCATCAGGCTATCATGTACAATTCTAAATTTTACAAACTTTCAGAATGTTTTCTATCGAAGACTTATTAGGTGTCACTGAGGCCAACACACCATTGCAAATGCCTTACTCTCCCACACAAGCAGCACCATTCAAAGCCCACCTACTCATGTTGATGGGCTTGCCCACAACTCTACCTGACTCCAGGGTCACTCATGCTGTGTCCATGGTAACGGTAAGTCTGCAACTCCATCAGGATGGGCCCCTATGACAACCCAAAGGACGCAGGTGAGACAAGAGGCACAGCACCTCGGGAATGCTGTGGAAGGAAGTGCTCATCAGCTCTGTTGCCAATTCCTCCTGGTGGACTGATCCTGAGGCTATCTCTTCTCATTTCTAATGCTTGTTTGTATGCTTCCTCCTTCTCATAGTAACTGGAATGCACTCAACACAACCTGCTGCAGTTGTGGAAATCACATACTGGCTTACCTCAGCAGCACTGCATTTGGTGCATGAACCCTCTAAAACAACACAGATCAGATATGCGAGAGGGGTAGCTTTTATCCTCAATCAAGTGTTTTCCATAGTCAATATAAACTCCTGACAGATCTGTGTGTGTGTGCTGGGAAGTACAGAAAGAGTGGTGGTGACCTAAGACTGGGACAGGTAAATTTCCAGGATGCTCCACCCAAATCTGGCTAGTTGTGTGACAAAGTTGGCAGGCTCAGGTGGCCTGTGATACTTTACCTGAGCACTGCTGGGGCTGTAGTAGTTAGGAGAGGCTCTGACTCTAGCTATGGGTGCTTAACTGCACTGGGCCTGTTTCCGCAGTGGTGCAGACTGGAGAATACAACGTTGCTGTGTCACCCAGCAGCCGTTTGGATGCACAGCGGTTGGGCTAAGGGGCATTCTAGAGCCTTCCAGAGAGCCAACACACATTCTTTCAGGGAGAGGGGGCTATGACCCTGCACTGGGACCTGGAGTCCCTAGTGCACACTGTGCAGCCCACTTCCCCCAACCTGCCGTCTCACTTTCTCTTGCTCAGCTGCTCTCCGTTTCCCTGTCACATCTCTCCTCCCATTTTTATCACTGCCAGTCAAATCTTGTTTAGATAGCCCATAACCCTCTTTTTAGGCCACTCTCACTTCTCTGCTATCCTTCCACTGCTATAACTGGAAAAAAAAAAATCAAGATTTCGTTTGTAGATGAACTTACATGGAATATTTACTACTGGGAGTCCCTAATCTGCTCACTCAAGGGAGGTGGGGGGGAGGAGAACAAAGAGTTTAGAAACACTTGTTAACTGTCAAGATGAATAGCTAGCAGACATGTAGAGACATTTAACAAATTATTAGGAATCACTAGCCAAGAGATCTGAGAGTCTTACTTTTCCAGCTCTACAATGTGCAGCTGCAAACTTTGTCGCCTCCCGGACACACAAGACGTCCATTCCGTCTACCTATCAATGCATGGGAAAGGAGCAAAGCAGAAATTACATGCCACAGCTGTCTGAATTTTACAGGACCAGCTCACACACTGGTAGCAAGAGTACACAGAGGCATCGAGCTGTGCCTTACCCTCAGCCCGGGGATAAAGTCGCCTCTCTTGTAGTAGTCAGTGCTGGCTGCTGCTCTCTCAACAGATGTTCCCATTCCATAGCGGTTATTTTCACAGATGAAAATACAAGGCAATTTCCACAAAGCAGCCATATTGTATGCTTCAAATATCTGACCCTGGAAATATGTATTAAAAAGCTTAAGTGGGAAAAAAAAAAAAAAGCTTAAGTGGTTACATTTTCCTATTTCTCTTGTAACAGCTGCTGCTGTACTGGTAAACTCACAAGAAAGAAACCATCTTCTACCACCATGCTTTTGGTGGTGAGGCAAAGAGTGTGTTGGGGTGAAGACAAGCATCTGGGATCACACATGCAATCAAGGGAAGCCAAGCCAAATATCATCACTTATTTCTGGGGCAGTGGAAAGAAATGTGTGTGCCTAGTCAGTCTTTATTAGACTAACTAGTGTGATACAAGTCAGCATGTAGAGCAGGCCGCCACAGAAAGTTGTCTCCAGCCTGGTGGTTACTGAGGACCAGTTTGAACATTACAGAATTGGTTTGCAATGAATTAAAATGTGAAAAGATCCCTTACCACAGAGTTGGGAAGCACTGAGGTAGAGAAGCTCCCTCACAGCAGTGCACCCTAATAAAGCACTTGTGAAACATGACAAGGGATAGAATCTCTCTGCTGGCATAAACCCAAGTTTCAGCTTGCCACTTCAATGGCCATGTCAACTACTAAGCAAAAGAGTACTTTATGAAGTAAACTAGGAACATTTAGCACTTTGGAAATAAAATTATCATCATTACTGAAAAATTAAGGGATGCACACTCACCTGATTAGCAGCGCCATCGCCATACAAAGTCAAACAGACCTCATCTTTTCCATTATACTTACAGGCCAGAGCGATCCCAGCTCCCAGGGGCACCTGGCATTATGTGGAACCAAGAAGGCATGAAGGAAGAAATTAATGCTCCAAATTTTAACTCATGGCCAGAATTTGAAATATAAATTCTCCCTACTCCCCCTGAGTGTCTTAACAAGTCAGTAAAGTAACATTATGACATGCTATTAAGCAATTAACATTTCTGCACTCAAAGATTCAACTATTAATCCTTAGTAAAAAAGCCGAAAAAAGGTGAAACCTAGGTTAAAAAAAAATCTAATTAGAAAGTAAACCAAACAATTGAGATGTGATTTTTATGCTGTTACTTCATTAATTGATGAGAGAGGACTATGTAACCACAAAAGCTGGTTTTTAATTCCAACTTGGCCCTTGAGATCCTGATCACATGTGTCCTGACTGGCACCAGTGTCGGCACCGTCTACAGCAAGGAGTAGGGAGGGCACATGGACCTCTATGTTCTCACGTGCAATAAATATCAGTGAAGGTGTAGCCCTGCTCAGTGGAGCTACTTAACAACACCAAAGAGGAAAAAAAATTGAATCATCCAAATTATCAGAGGATAAAATGCTAGGGTTATGAAGCAATAGGGCGCATCTTTCAAAGCACCCCAAACCCACAAGGTAACGTCTTTGAGACTACTGGAAAGACCTGGGCCCATGCTTAAGTAGGAAAGCACGCAATCCTCATCCTCCACTACCTGAGCGCCAACGATGCCGTTGCCCCCATAGAAGTTCTTCGCATACATGTGCATCGAGCCTCCTTTTCCTTTAGCACAGCCTCCTCTTCGACCTGGAGATGCAGCACACAATGCAACAAAAGCCAAATCCATAAAACTGCACCTCAAGTATTTGAGTATTTACTGGCTCAACCTAATATTAGCACGACGAGGTTAATTCACTTGTAGAAGCACCTGCCCCTCTGTCTCCCAGTCCTTTTATAATGAGGGTCAGGCTAGACCCATGTCCTTGATCTTTCCAACCTTTCTGCTCTCCAGATGTGATGGTACCTGAGACTTCCAGTTCCTCCTACACTGGATGGCCAAATTTCTATTTTGCTTACTTTTTAAGACTGCTAGATTTCTGCTGGCACGCTTGTGTGGTGGTAAAAACTACTCAGACCTGAGGGGCCTAATGACCTCAAAACTAGCTAGTTCATTCAAAAGCCTAACAGGGGAGAGTTGTGTTGTTTTTTTTTTTTTTAAACTGAAAAAGGTTCTAATAACTCATAATGGCTAACATTTTAATGGGAGACATTTGAAAACTTAATTCACTGACTTCCCCTTTCAATAAATCAGTATCAAACCTGTAAGTTCTGCGAGAATTTCTCGGACAGAAAGCCCACGAGTAAAGGTAAAGCCGTGAGCCCGATAGGCTGTGATAAGATGGTCTGTGGGGTTTATGCCGGCTTCTAGGCCCACACAACAGGCTTCCTGCATGAAAGGAAAAAGCAGTGATGAGTCAATACAATACACATTTCTGGATAAAAGGTTTCCTAGACTATTACACGAAATATTTGACCTAGCAGAACTCATTGATAAAGAAGAGCTCCATTTTCATCAGAAACCGAGTGGGGGGTAAAATCCAAGCCACTGGCACATCACCAAACAATGTCTTTCTTAAAAGTCTATCCAGCACATGTAACCAGTGTGTGTCACGGAGCTTTAAAATACAGGAAATACATTCTTTAGCCTAAGCTTCACAGCAGGTTTCAACATTTTCATGTTCACTCTAAAGTGCCGGCCTGAATCCTCCTGACATAGTCAGGGTAAAAGTCAACAACCCACACTCAAATTCCTAAATAACATGGCTTTATTACAAGACTACCACTCACCTGACCGTCACACAAATGACAGAAACCGCGAATGATTTTCTGCTTGTACAGCTGATCAGCCTTTAACTCCATCCGGCGCACAGTCTGCATCATCCTGTAGTATCGGAGTCCGTCCTCTCTGGTGAGCACGGTTGTGACAGGAGGGCCCTCTTCCAGCCGGTGAAGGTCACATTTCTGAAATGGAGTCAAGCAGTTAACTTCCAGTTACACACTGTCAACACTGCAAATAGTATGAAAATCAAAACCCAGCAGAGAGGCACACTAGAAATATCACATGTTGCTTCCAACTCCTTAAATCATAAACCTTACTGTACAGTGGCTAGGGTGGGGGTGTCTAAAAGGTCTTTCACTGAAAACAAGTCAGCTGTATTATAGGCTGAAAGACAGGCCTTCAAAGCATTCTTATTCAAACGTTTTACTGAATCACGTTCTAAACTTTGAAGTTTCCAGGGTTTTTAATGCCTCCTCCTCCTCCGAAGCTGCTAAATAATCATATTCTAATTTGCTAAACTTCTCCATTGATTCTAATATTTTGGAAGGAAATGGTGAACAACAAAATGCTCTATTCCAAAGGTTATTGCGTATCATAGTGCACCTGTGGGAAAAATTAAACACTTACCTTAATTTCAAATGTAGCATCGTTTGCAAAATTACGGGACGCCACCAATACTCTGCTTGCCTTGAAAGACCAAAATAGACAAATCAGCACATTTTAGTCCTTTCTGAAAATGATTAGTTGCCAGAATGCAGTCATGGAACTTCAATAAACTACAACATATTTAGGGCTTATCTTCCATTCTGCTTACTATATGGGGATCTTGTCTTTCATAATGAATCCATGTGTAGGCCAATGAAATATGGTCATTACCTCCATCTCCAGGCAAACAGCAGAAAGATTAAAGGGGCGAAAATCAAACCCAACCACTTACTTTGTTTTCAAAGAAAATTATAGTGAGAATATGATGCTGTTAATGGCCAAACTGAAGAGACTAGATACTCTGTGGGTTTTGTACTTAAACTACTTAGTCATATTTCAAACTAGCTGAAGTTTTACTTTCAGAATTGTATTTCCAATAAAACTATGACTCGGTCCCTAATTTTAGGCAAACTATTTTTCTATGAGCTGGATCTCTAACAAAATTTTAAACAGCCATAGTATGAGGTAAATGCTTTCATGTATAAGACAAAAGAAGATAACCAGCACTCCCTGACTTAAAAGCAGTGAGCTTAGAGATGTTTTCTAATTTGAGCCTGTATCTTGGGTAGGCTTCTCGTGAAGCTCCAGAAAGGAGAGAGGTTCTCTACAATAGATTCCTAAAATTTGGGGGGCTGTCAGCCATTGGGGTTGGGGTAAAAAGTTGGGGGAAATGATTCCTTATACAAACATATCTGCTTCAGAAAAGCATGTAATGGCTAAGGTCCAAGTTAGACCACAGATATGTAACCAGTGATGGTTCTGCACCCTTAGCCACACTGTGCCGCATGTTCACATACTAATAGTAAACCAATAGGACTTCTTTTCATGGAGACTTGTGGAACATTCATCGGATACCACAAAATATTATTTTGATGTTGTTCATAGAGTATTATTACCTTACCATTCAACTTCTAGTACTGGACTTCAACTTGGAAAAGACAGACCTGCTTGTAAAGTGTATACTGTATACCAGCCAGTAGGCAGAAAGGTATTAATGCTCTCTTTTCACCACCATCCCCCCCCCATACCATTATCTGGCAAAGTCAACAGGTAAAGACAATGATGTTAGAGGGAGAAAGTTTTAAAACACTAGAAAAAAAATTTTTAAAACATAGAAATAAATGCTTCAGTCAAGTCAGAGAAGTCCATTAATATGTCTAGCAATAAATGAAGAAAATGGAGAAATTTGATAAGTAAAGCAAAGCCATGAGGTGGCAAACAAAAGGTTGTATTTGGCAAGCATCAAAAAGAGATGTTACTTTTGGCAGTTATTTTGTGGGGCGGAAATAGTTCTTGTATTGTGAAATGAATTTCCAGATGCAGCTACAGAATAGGGGAATACTGAAAACGAGATTAAACCAGTTGGGGCACAGTAACTGAGAAAAGGCAAAATTTTCTTTTTCCAGCTTTAAGTCCAAACAGTGAAGAATGACAGGTCTGTGTAATAAAAAGCAGGAAGGTAGGTCAGAGATTATGACTGTTAGAAGCTACTTACTTTCTTTATCCCAAATTTTAAACAAGGTGACTCACTGACATTACAGGTGAAAGGAGTCAAACCAAAAGTCCTATCAGAAGTATGAGTGCATTTAATTTTTACTGTTAATACATTTGAAAAGATCACCATTTCCTCTGGAGAGTGGTCTTTGAGAGACCACTGATGAAACCATTCACATATCTTTAAAAATTATGTTTCTAAATACTTGGGAAGCTTTCGAACAAAAGGGACAACATTCCTAAAATTCCTGATTCCACCAATGTAAATTAAAAATCTTACTACTTACAAAGTCAAAAGAATATATGAGTAGTAAAGGTCTTACAAAAGAAGGGAGTCATAATGGAAACCACAAGCAATAAGACCAAAAATAAAAACCTGAAGTACAGTTTAACCTTATGTGAACTAAGAACTTTGAAAACTCTCAACCTCATTCCAAAGTAAAATTGCGGGTATTTAGAGGCACCTGGAATAAATTAAGTTACACAGGGCTCTGCTTTCATTCTGGAGACTCAACTTTGTTAAGAAGGTGCTAACCTCTTACAGGTTTTGGAAGGTTGGCTGAAAAGCAAGCACAGGGGAGCGACATCCCAGGCGTCCATTGAGTCAGACTCTCAAATGGAGAGTAATAAATCACAGCTACGTTTCCACCTAGGTTCTAAGATATTAAACACTACACCTCCTTCCATTCATAGTCTCTTAAAAAGATAAAGCAATTTATCACTTATGCTTAGACCATCTGATAGTGCCTTAATTTTAATGACACTTTTGCAAACCAAGATAAACCTTCAAAAAATATGAAATCTAATGGAGTACACAGGACTATGAAGATGGCACATGGGGGAATTGGTGATGGGAAGCTCACAGGGATGACAACTGAGATGGAAAAAGGCACAAAATGATGTAAAAATATAATAAAGATTTTAAAAATGTGAAATCTGTCCCTCCCTCGTGGCGCAGTGGGTTAAAGCACAGCACTAAGAAGCTTGAGCCACTTCCACATGAGTTCGAGCCCTGCCTGCCTGCCCCAGAGATGACCACATGGCGCGGCAGACCTCCCCTGACCCGCCCGCTGCTCCCCTCAGCAGTGTACTTCCTCCATCTGCCTGTTCTGCTCCCTGCTCTGTCTCTGGTGAATCCTCTCACCCTCCGCATCTCTGGCCTGTACCCCAGTTCTATATGAATAAATAAGTAAATCTTAAAAAAAAATGTGAAATCTTGCTTTATGTGACAACATGGACAGAACTTGAGGTACTAATAATTTAAAGTGAAATGTGAGAAAGACAATACCCAATGTTTTCACTCGTGGAATATAAAGAAGCAAACTAAGGAAAAATACCTTACACTGACAACAAAGTAGGGGTTACCAGAGGGAAGGAGAAGGGGGTGTGGGAAAAACAATAGAGGGATCACTTGTGCTACATAATTTATCGAGGTGTGAAGATATACCCTGAAACCTATATGGTTTTGTAAACCAATGGAAATTTTAAAATAAAAATTATTTCAAGTTTCAAACCCAGAATCACTGGGAGCCTGGCATGTTGTGGAACAAGAAACCATCCATATCAGCTTCAATTGTATTTTCCATTAGTTAGTATTCAGTTTTTTAGCATTAAGAAGTACAAATTTTTATAAAGGAAGTACAGATCTACCATTATAAAGCATTTTGAACACTCTAAACAGCCTGTGTTAAACACAACCAAAACCTGATGATGAATGACGCACCAGACCCCAGAACCCCTAAGTATAGTGAGCACTCTGGCAACAAAGCATGGATCGTCAGCAGCGGGAACAGTGAATTGCTGGCGGATTTGCTCTGTTGAGAGGAAATAGCTAATAAGGTTTCGGTCCAGACACATATAAGCTAGTTAATACATAATTCAAGGTATTTTTCACTGTTCCTCAGTATAATTGTCATATACATAGGAAACACACAAAACTGTCAAAAAGAGCATGGGGGGCCCTCCCTGGTGGGGCAGCGGTTTAAAGCACAGAACTAAGAAGCTAAAGCCACTTCAGCATGAGTTCGATCCCTGCCCTGGGAGGTGACCCACATGGCGCGGCAGACCTCTCCTGACCCACCCACTGCTCCCCTCAGAAGTGTACTTCACTAGTCAGCCTGTTATGCTCCCCACTCTGTCTCTGGTGAAGCCTCTCACTGCCCCTGTACCGCTGGCCTGTACCCCAGTTCTGTATGCATAAATCAATCTTTAAAAAAAATCACTGTAGCCTAAACTTATGCCTCGGGCCTGTTCAATGTGGGCTGATTTTTGAAGAGGCCAAATCTATTGAGAGGAAGATGAAGTGCAACTTGCATTTCATGCCAACACACTGCTGAAGGATTAGAAAACACAGCAGAGTATTTGGGACACTTGAGGGACTAAGGCTTAAGAGTTTAAATAATAACCTCTCTAGAGTTCATAGGGTCACAGATGTGACCATAATTTGATGACGTTTTTCCTTTTTCTGTAAATCACCAATTCTATCAAAGTCTTCCCATTTTAATGCAGTTCCTTTTAATTTCATATACTACAGAACTAAGGGTCGATGTAATGTTGAAAACATGCTTCCATTACATGCAGCTAAAAACGGAGCGATTGTAGAGATTGTGACTATGTGAAATACCCAACTAGAACCTGGCACCTATTAAGAGCTCAGTGAAGGCTGGCTGCATCAATAGGAGTATGCAGAAATTACTTCTTCAGGGGGCGCCACTTAGAATTTAAAGGCTAATCATAACTGATTAATCAATCAAATTGTGCTTTGTAGTTCTTCCGATGGGATTCCGAAAGGCGTACCCATCCTGCCTTTCCACGCACACTGCCCATGCTAAGCACGGCTGCCACGAGGTCTTGGGAGAGCTGCTAGAGCCAGAATGACAAGTCAGGGCTTGGCTGCCGTTCCGCCCAGTAATACTACCGCACTGTGCCTAGAGGTCAAAATAGTCGAAGGTGCTAGCACGTCTAAAAGCTGGAGGCACAGTGCTGACCTCTAGCCCCGTCCATCCCAAGCAACACTGTTTTCTTTAGCTACTTTTACACACACCAAGTGGGTGTCAAAGGCAGAGGGCAGTTTCCCCTGGGTCCTCGCCTGCTTTCAATTGACAGCTAAGCGGAGCTCAAGGTTGGAGACAATTACGCGGATGAAGTCGTTTCCGGGAAACTGACACCGCGCGAAACCTGCCAGAGCCGACCACGGTGTCCAACAAAGGGGTAACACTGCACGCTCCAACAGGACGCGTTGACACCTCCGGCCCCCACCGCGGACCAGGAGCCACGGCGAAGCTGACCCACACGCCACTCGGAACCCTCTGGCCAGCCGCACCGCGGGGCACCAAGGCTACCATCTCCACTTTACAGATGAAACGCAGCTGCCGGCCGTCACCGCGAGGTCGGCAGCCCACGGTCCCACGGCGAACGGGGGGATTTCAAATGAGTGGGCTGCGAAGGGGGGCCACTGGGGACTCGGGACAGCCCAAGGCCGCCTTTCGGGCCGGCAGTAAACGAGCAGGCACCCCTGGGGCACAGCCACCAGCCCCGAGGCCGACCGCCACGCGGACCTCGCAGCGCCCTTCCTCCCCCAAGTCGGCGCCAGGACCTGGCAGCCGCTGCCCTCCAGGTGGCAAAACAAAGGGCTGCGGCTCCCTGGGCGCCCCGCTCCGCCCTACGCACCACCACGCCGCGAGCCCCAGAGCCCCGGGCCCCGCCGGCGACCCGCCCCGCTCCCGCCGCCTCACCGGCTTCTGGGCAGCGCCGGATAACACGCGGGAGACGGCGGCGAGCATCTTCCTCATGAAGTGCGGGCAGCGAGCGGCAGCGGCGGCGGCTATCAAGGAGCCCCAGAGCGCTAGCCGGGCGTCCCCAAGTCTCCTTCAGGCGCCCGACGTCACGCCTTAATAGAGCGCGACGCGACAGGGCGGGGAGACGTCACGCGCCGCGCCAGGCCACAGGCCAACCAGGTCGGTTTGCGGGGCATTCCCCGCCCACTCAAAAGGCGCGCGGCCGCCCATTGGGTACTGAAGCCAGAGTGGGCGGGGGTGGGGGGTTCCTTCCGTTACCGGGCGGCTCGCGTGCAAGGGGCCGGGGACGTGAGGGCGCCTGCGTGGAAAAGTAGGACCCCCCCCCCGCCTCCAGAGCCCTACGGACTGGGGACCTAGCTTTGGGTGCTGCACCACAAAAGAGGCGTGCACGAGTGTAAGCCCCGCGGGCCAGTCCTACTGCGTGCCCAGCCCTTCCGGCGTTGCAGATCTGCAGCCTATACTCGTACTCGGGATGTGAGGCTTAACAGCATGGTCGAGCCCCAAGGACAGAACGTTGTGTTCTATAAGTGGTTCTGCCGGGCACTTAAGTGTCTTTAAGAGATCGAGTAACAGTTGTAAAATGCTGCTCTGGGTACTTGGGCAGGGGTTCAAAAATCTGTTACCGTAGTCAATATTGAGAGCTCAATGGGAAAAGCTTATCCACCTTAGTTATTCTAGTTCACAAACAATTTGAATTAACAGCATGACACAGCTGATAATAAAAGCACACACAAAGCAACACAAAACAGCTGTTCGGGGCGGGTCCCAGCGCCCAGGGATGGGATGTATGCTCGTGGGATTGCTGGGTTTAGATTTGGACTCCACATCTTAAGGGGCATAACTTTCAGGGTGATGACAAAAATGAGAGGAATCTAGGGGACAGTGAAGAGAATGGTGATGTAACAGGGTGGTCCCCAGGAAAAGGGGAAGTTCCAGGTTCTCTGCCCCACCCAGAAGGAGGGTGGAGCTGAGGAGAAAAGGAATCTGAGGAAGAAGGAAGCAGGAGGGAACGCCAGAAGGAGACCTAAGGGAGCCACGTGGAGTAGAGAGACATGTGAAGAAACCGTGCTTGTTTCTTGGCCCTGGAGTGGTTGACAGAGATGTGGGGGAGAGACCCGTGGGGAGGTTGAGTCTGGCGGTGTTTATATTGATTTGGATTGTGCTCTTTTTCCTCCCAGACTTGTCTGGCTATGTGTGACCCTTTTCTATGGGTCCCGGCCAGATGGTGCTTTAGTCTTATGGTGGCTTTCAGGCCTTGCTTTGGACCAGTCCCTTAAAGTTCCTTTCCATTAAAGCTCTTATGTCTCGATTTGATGCGGCGGGTGGCAGAACCTATTTAGAGCAGGCAGGTTTGGGGGTTCAGAGGTGCCCCTCTCTCCCCTGCCCTGTAACAGTAAGAGGCTAAAATTGTGACTTGTAAAGACTGATTAGAAGAGTTAGGAAGATTCATTTCAGGTGGCCTACCTTCTATTTGATCAACAACCTCCACCGTTTCAGTTACTTGAACTTGAAGTGACTATTAGCTTGTTTAAACTACAGGCCCCTGGGATTTGCTGGGGCATTGTCTTTGCTGGTGAATGTCTTTGCTCTGGGACTCAGGCTGATAAAGCAGCCTCTCTGCAGAGCTTAGCTTGACTCAGAGGAGGAAAAAAGGCCTTAATTTAACTGGCTCGCAAAGCTTCTATCCAGAAGTGACCATCGTTTCCTCTCACTTTTCAACTATGTTCCAGTTAGTCTGGATGAAGTATAATTCTCTTGCAAGAAGGGAGACCACGAAACTGAATGAATAGTAAAACCACAAAAGATCTGATATACCTTCATACACTTTCAGGCCTGTCTTTCTAGGGTTTGGCGTGTGTGTGTGTGTAAAATTATTTCAGTTCATTGTAACAATGAATTTTCCAACAATGAGAATTATCCACTGAGATAATTCCCTGCCGGTGTCGCCAAAAGAATTCAGAATGGGCGCTCGAAGCATGACCAGCTATCAGGAAGGCTAGAGAAAGGATTCGGGCGCTGTCCGGAGCCTGGGCAACAGGATGTTACCACCTCTGCACCTTGATGACCAAGCTGTAGTGAGAACACCCTGACAGGAGTGAGAGTGGGGCAGTAAAGGGAGGGGTGGCATTGAGAGCCACGGCATAGTATGGCTTCCACATGCTGCTGCTGACTCTGGAGGTAAACAAAAAGGAATGTGAAAGGCTGGAGGCCACATGTCCAGGTCATGGGAAGAACCTTGTCTGGATGGAGGCGAAAAGAGTTATCTGAAGATGTTCCCTAATAGTTGGAGTTGTGTGACCCTCCCTGGTGGCGCAGCGGGTTAAAGCACAGCACTGAGAAGCTAAAGCCACTTCCGCGTGAGTTCGATTCCCGCCTGCCCCGGAGGTGACCACATGGCGTGGCAGACCTCTCCTGACCTGCCGGCTGCTCCCCTCAGTTGATCTGCCTGTTCTGCTCCCCATTCTGTCTCTGGTGAAGCCTCTCGCCGCCCCTGCACCTCTGGCCTGTACCCCAGTTCTGTATGCACAAATAAATAAATCTTTAAAAAAAAAAACAGTTGGAGTTGTGGCTCTGGAACAGATGACTAGAAATATAAATCTGGGAGTTACTGCTTGTGTGTATCCAAAAGCGCCATAGGACAAACAGACATAAATAAAGCCAGCCAGCCATCATTCATCTACACCTAGATGGCCAGCGCTGGTTATATGTCAGGTGCTATGCCAGGAACGGGCTGTGTGGAGGAACAAGTAAAACACAGGCCTGTAGGGGCAGAGAGCAAACTGAACTACAAATACAGATTCTACCTACCAGGATGTGAATGCTAAAACAAACAGGCCATGCGGGTTCATATCCTGAACGAAGGAATCCGAAGGAGGCCTGGGGTGTCAAAGAGGGGACTCACATGACAAAGAGATGGTGACTCGTGACAAGGCCAAAGGCTCTGTAAGTACATGTATAAGGAAGTGAACTGGCCAGGCTTCCAGGCCGCACCTCTGGGCTCTCACCTGCGGCCTTGCTTGTGCTGATGCAGGAGGGGCCAGGGCCTGGGCATGACCACGCAAGCCTGCTTGTGGACACCTGGAGTCGCGCACGGCAGGCGTAAGTGTGTGCGCCCGGGCGGGGGCTGTAAGGTGGCCTCACACCGAACGGCTGTGATGAGGAACGGCTCAGAGGAAGAGGAGGAGAGAGCCCAGAGGGAAAGCGGAAAGATCCCCCAGGGTCTGGGCGGCCTCCAGCCCCACCCCCACCCCCAGGTGCTCCGCACCTGGTTGTTGGCACTACAGCACGTTTGCCCGGGCATACAGCTGGGTTCCTGCAGCAGAAAGGCTGTTTCTGGAGATGACCCTAGCTCTAGGTAGCAGCCCCACTTTTCATTCTTCCAGGTAAAAGAGAGAAAAATAACTCTCTGGAGCCTACCGGACCGCAGTTGACCTCAGCTCGCAGTAACCTACGCGCCCCAGCGGCAAGTCTTGGGGGGCCGGTACTTCAGGCCCGAGGAGAGTCAATGACAAGTGCGCACAGATACAGATGATCTGAGCTCCTAAGTGGTTTGAAGAAAAAGGGTAAAGGGGTAGAGTAACAGGGAGAGAGTCAGAAGGGCCCCTCTGAGGAGGGGACATGTGAGCTGAACCCCAAATATAACCTGGGGGAACTCACGCGCACAGATCCTGAGGGGAACTTTGCAGACAGAGGGATCACAGCTGCACCCTGCGGCATACACAGACCCGCATACTGCAGAATTAGTAAGCCCCTTGGGTGGCATAAAGGGGGAGCTCTAGGCAATGAGTGGGAGAGCCCAGGACAGGTCATAGAGCAGCTTCACTAAGACCTAAAGAAGGAATATTTTAAAAAACACTTTAAATGTAGGCCGGGCTTACTAGGAAAAGGAGAAAAATAGGCGTGTGCATAGTCACAGGTGGGCAGGAGAACGCTAAAGGAGGAGACTGGGAAGGCGAGTAGCCTGGTCTCGCAACCCCCAAGGGGTCACGCAGCCAGCAGGTGGGGAACAGTGGAGAACTCACTCCAGGGTGCCAAATCCTGGCGGAAACCCAAGTCTCGAGGGTGCCTACCAGTTTATGGGCTGTTCTGTCAAGTCAAAATGGTGGGAAGTTACAGCTGAGAAGACAATGTCTTCAGGAAACAAATTCCAGGCTAAAGAGAAAAAGGCTGGTGGAATTGTCATCCGACGAAGGCGGAAGGGACCAGTGGCCATTTGTGAGATCAACTGGGCAGCTTAAATACGGACTAGATGTTTGATGACATTAAAGGGTTTGTTGCTTCTAGTCTCATGATTATGTGGAATCTAACAACGATGGAGCTTGTGGACCTAAAGAACAGGTCCATGGTGGCCAGAGGAAGGGTGGGGGTGGGCGGAAGGGGCCGGAAGGGGCCGGAAGGCCCCGCCTTCCAGCTCTCAGGGACCTAAGTCATGGGAGGGAATGTACCACAGGAGTCTGGCTAATATGTTCCGTATATTTGAAAGCTGCTGAGAGAGTACATCCCAAAAGTCCTCATCACAGAAAAAAAAGTCTGGAGCTCAGTATGGGAGTGAGCTGACTACATGTAACGTGGCGACATGCGCCAGTGTCGCACATGTGGGACTAATTTAATGCTCCCTGTCCATTCTGGCTCAATAAAAGTAGTAATAAAAAAGGATTGCCTAGTTGTGCAGATGGCATTACGTTTAAAAAGAGTCTTTATCTTTCACAGACATAACTTTTATGGTTGAAATGATATGCTATCTGGGGGTAGCTTTAAAATTCTCCAGCGAGGGCGCCGGCCGCTGTGGGTACTGGTGGGATGCACACAGGTGAGCAAAGGTGACGACTGTTAGGTCAGCAGGGCCTACCCCCGCTCCCAGAGCTCCTCTCCTCTGTGGGCCTTTGCAAAGATCTCATTCCAGGAAGAGCAGTAGCGATGCCAGATATCAGTGATTCCGTGTCGGTCATGCAGTGACCTTTAGCTAAAAAAATTTCTTCAGTTGAGCTAAGAAAATTTCCGTTCCCACTTTTCAGTATCTGCTACAGCTCACTGAAGCTATGGAAAGGCTTACATATGTCAAATAAAAACATTTAAGTCAGTCATTTGTTCATG